GTGTAATGTATCAAACTTATTATGTTTTTCTTACTAGAGGCCCTATACTTTTTAGTGAACTTTATTATACATTTTCTATACAGGGTGTTTCAAAAAGGTATGTCATAAATTAAATCACGCATTAGAATAGAAATATGCTTTATTATCACTGAAAATTATTGAACAATTTTATGGACAAAGCTAAAAAATAAATCAGTCAAATAGTACAAAAAGTATAAAACAAAAACAAATATAGTAAAAAACAGAATAACACAATTTTAAATTAGTAAAATTATTGTATAACCTACATAATTTGTACAGACAACAACAAATGAGACAAATTGTAGCCACTGCTTGAGACACCCAAATGTAATTATAAACAATACTAATTTTGTTTCTTTGTTATACATTAAGAAACTCGTCAACTGAATAATATGGTCTTTCTGAGAGATAGATTTTTGTCACCGTACGAAACTTAATGAAGGATGTTGCGGATTTAATTTCTCTTGGAAGGTGATTATAAAGTTTCTTTGCACGATATAGAATAGAATTCTTTACTAGCTGAGTGGACGGGATCGGCAAATAAACGTTACAATCCGAATTTCTAATGGAGTAGCCATGGTCAGGTCTATCAGGAAAAATGTTTAGATGCTTTCGAATCAAACAAACCGTTTCCAAAATAAATAAAGAGGGAAGCGTCAAAATTCCGTGATTTTTGATCCATTCCGGGACAAAAATAAATTGATTGATCCAACATCAGAAAAACAAATAATATATGGATGACAGAAGAAATCCTAGAACTGATAGACATAAGGAGATCTTACAAAAATCACAATGAAGAAAAATATAAAGAATCCCAGAGAATCATCCGAAACAAAATCAGGAGAGCCAAAGAAGAATGAATGAGCAGCAACTGTGAGGAATTGGAAGATTTACTAAAAAAGCATAACTACTTTCTTCTTCTTCTTCTTCGTCTACCCATTCACGTCCACATCTGAACATAAGCCTCTTCAAGTCTTCCTTTCCATTGTTTTTTTATTGTACGCTACTTGTAGCCAATTTTTCCCGGCAGTCCTTTTCAGATCATCTGTCCATCTCATAGGAGGTCTGCCTCTGGGTCTTTTGTGTTGGTATGGTCTCCAGGTTAAAATTGATCTGTGCCATTTGTTTAAATCGCTCCTAGCTATATGTCCAGCGTATTCCCATTTCAACTTTAATGATTTTTGCACCACATCGGTGACTTTGGTTTTCTGTCTTATCCATGTGTTTGTTTTCTTGTCCTTAAGTGATATACCTAGCATTGCTCTTTCCATCGCGTGTTGAGTGACTCTAAGTATATTCATATTCTTTTTTGTGATTGTCCATGTTTGTGCCGCATAAGTTAATATCGGAATAATGCATGCATCAAAAACTTTAGATCTAAGATGTAGTTGAATTTGTTGATTTCTGAGTATATAGTTCAGTTTACCGAATGCTGCCCAAGCTAACTTTCTTCTTCTTTTTATTTCTTCAGTCTGAATTTCCCTATTTAGAATTATTTTTTGTCCCAAGTATACATATTCTTCAACTTTTTCTATAACTTTATCGTTTATTATTGTCACGGTGTCTTCGGAGTGCATGACTTTTGTTTTGTTTAAATTCATTTTCAGTCCTATTTTAGAAGATTCGGTATGTAGTTCTACAAGCATGGTTTGCATTTCTTGTAGGTCAGTAGCTATCAGGATTATGTCATCTGCAAATCGTAGATTACTGAGGTAGCGGCCATTGATGTTTATTCCCTTATATTTCCAATTTAGGTTTTTAAAAACGTCCTCCAAAACTAAGGTGAACAGTTTGGGTGGTAAAGTATCTCCCTGTTTGACTCCCCTGTTTAATGGTACAGGGTTCGTGTGTTCATTTTCATTTAGGTAGTATGTAGCTGTAGTTTGGTTCATAGTTTCTTTTATTAAGTTAATATATCTGCTGTCTATTCTACAATTTTGCATTGCGTTTATTATGGCCGTGTGTTCTATGGTATCGAAAGCTTTTTAGTAGTCTACAAATGCTAGGAAAACTGGAAACTTGTATTCGTTACATTTTTCTATTAATATTTTTGTGGTTAACAGGTGATCGGAAGTTGAATAGCCTTTTCTAAAACCTGCCTGTTATATGGTTGGTATTCGTCTAATTTCCTTGTTAGTCGAGTAGTTATGACGTTGGTGAGTATTTTAAACAGGTGTGACAGTAGGCTGATGGGTCTGTAGTTTTCCAATTTTCGACTATCACCTTTCTTGTGTAATAAGATTACTTTAGGGTTGTTCCAGCTCTTAGGGACTTTGCCCTGATGTAAACAACTGTCCACAAGTTTAGTTACAATTGCAATTAGTTCCTTACCTCCTTCTAATATCATATCTGTGGTAATACTATCTTCTTCTGCAGCTTTATTTCTCTTCATGTTTTCCAATGCTGTAGTTACCTCTGAAATTGTTACTTTTGGCATTATTTCTGATCCAACATTTTTATTAATTTCCGTGCTGGTCTCATCTCATCATCTTGTTGATGTGATCTGTAAAGTTCTGTGTAAAACTCTTCTATTCGTGTCAGTATGTTTTCTCTACTTGTGATTTCATTTTCGTCTTTTCTTATTAATGATATCATCTGACGTCGGCCTAGTGTCGGTCTAAGGCATTTCATACTCTTATTTTTTTCAATAGTTGTTGTTATTAATTTTTCGTTTTCTTTTCTTTTTTGTTGTCTAATTCCTTTTCTAATCTGCCTATTAAGTTCTCTATATTCGTCGGTTCCCTTTTGTTAGATTTATTTAAAATCTTCCTTCTTTCTATTTGTTGTAATATTTCTTTGTCTAATTCATTGTATGTTGTTTTTGGTTTTTTTCAGTTGCAGAAGGCTTTTATTCACTGTTTCGGTAATAAGGTCATTCAAATCATCAATATCATTGGAGTTTATCTGCTGCATAACTACTTTAATGCATACAAAAAGATTAAGAAAGTCAACAATATGAAAGAAAAAATTACTACAACTTTAGTAGATGATAACAACCAAATATGATCTAGTTCAGAAAATGTAAGAGATATGTGGGAAAAATACATCAAAGATCTGTTTGATGATGAGAGAAGAAAACCACAAATGAATATAGTACAAGAAACAATACTCGATATATATTAACATCGGAAGTTATAAAACCAATCAATACAGCAAAGCCACGAAAAGCCTCAGGTCCAGATGAAATATAAGTAGAGATGATAAAGCTTATCAATGAAGAAAATCTTCAGACATTAAACACTAGTATTTAACAAAATATATACACTGGAATCTTTCCAGAAGACTGGCTTAGATCGACATTTATACCCTATACCTAAGAAAAATAAAGCAAATAGATGCTCAGAATTCAGATTAATTAGCCTAATGAGTCATTTTCTGAAAATTTTACTCATAATTATACATCAACGAATATATGTACAGATGATGTACAGAGAATGCTATAGAAACCTGAGCGACAATCAATTTGAATTTCGTATGGGGCTCGGTACAAGGGAGGCATTATTTGTCCTCCAGATATTACTACAAAAATGCCGAGATCAGCGAAAAGACGTGTTTCTCTTTTTTATCGACTATGAAAAAGCGTTTGATCGAGTAAAACATACAGAACTCATAGAAACCCTAACACAACATGGTATAGACCATAACACTGTAGCACTTATTAAAAAACTATATTGAGTTATTGAGAAACACGAGTTATCTAGGACATATTTACACAGGAGAAAAATACAACTTCCTACGAGTTATAATGGAAGGGAAAGTGGAAGGAAGAAGAGGTCCAGGAAGAAGAAAATGCTCCTGGTTGAAGAATGTAAGAGACTGGACAGGCATGGACTCACATTCGAAACTAAGAACAGCTCAAGATAGAGAGCAATTTGCTGCAGTTATAGCCAACCTTGGCTATGGAGAAGGCACCTTAAGAAGAAGAAACATTTTTATCTAAAATTATATAAGCTATATTTTATTTAAAACAATTTTTCTGCGGCGTAAATATTCTTAGTAAATCGAATTTTTTCGTTTTCCACCCATATGAGGGGTGTTTTTAACCAGAAGATGGACGGCAAAATTGATAAACGTTGGCATATTGTTTAGGGTCCAAAGTAATATTCTCTGAAAAATTCAGCTTGTTCGTATAATTTTTAGAGGTCAAATCTCTGACGAATGGACTAAATTAGTAACAAAATTAATATTTCTAATATTTTTTCTTAATGTATATCTGAAATATGTCTTTCCCAAATTTTATTTCTTAGCAGATTGCTTCAAACAATTCCACACTTACAAGGACCACCTCAAAAAAATGTAGCACAATCAAAAAAATATCAAGAGTTAGACCAAATATATTTTGACCGCATACCAATTAGATACAACACGCAAATATAATGATTTGCAATATATAAAGGCTGTTTTACCAAAAGACTACCACGACTTTTATGATAAACTTTCATTTTGCAATTAATTCATTTAAATAATTTGTTAATGTTGTCATTGCGGATAATAAATTTAATTTAATATAAGTATTACTTTTTTATTTCAGAGAAATGTTGACAACTCCACTTATTTAACTATACCTACTTATTGTATGTGATAAACTGCTAACTCCTATTTATTTATATTAAAATAAGAGTATATGCGGTAGATATTTGTTTTATAAAATTAAATGTTATTTAAGCTAGTCTATAATATATTAAACAGTTTTAAACGTCGAAATTTCCTTTATACAAAAATCTGCATTTGAGGCATGTTTTTTTCCCGCCCCTGTAAATTTACTGAAAATGGAGTTAGCAGCTTATCACTTTTTAATATTATAAGTTATCTATAGCTTATCACCCTTAAGCCGACCATCGATCGAGCAAGAATTGCTCGATGTAGCCGACGATATCACAGAATATATCACCACCGAACATCACCCTAGTGTTGGATGATGTATTCTGTTTCTGTGGTCAAAAGTCATTAGTCATTCTTCACACTTCGTTTAGAGGTTATGTATAGTTTAGTAAGTTTAGTTTGACTTGTTTATTTTTCAACTTTTGTATAAGCATGAAATGGATTCAGAATCTGCAGCATCTTCCACTGTAAACAATTTTCCATCGAAGGTTAATAATTTCGCTGTAATAGTGAATGGTGAACACACTGATATAGCATTAACAACATTTACAAACTATCAAAATTTGATCATTACTCAATTTGAAAAAATTGGAAACATTTATCAAGTTAAAGTAGACCAGCCAGCAAACGGGCTAACTGTATCAGAAAAGGTGTACAATATTAAACAGATACTAGGAGCCGAAAATGTACATGCGGAAGTTGCAGTTAGATATTTAACAGAAAAATTGAGCATACAAAAACCCTTGCTAGTTTGTTTAAGCCTAAAAGACTATAGTAGACGTAGCTTAGATATTATTATAGAATCAATTAAAAATCACAAGTAAATTATGGCTTTGGAAAGAATTAAAAAAGCTGAAAGCTTCTACGGCCAGGTGGTTATAGGACCTCCAGGTTCAGGAAAAACAACATACTGTGGTAAAGTTTATGCGTTTTACAAAGAAAAGTTAAATAGGAAAGTAGAAATTGTTAATTTAGATCCAGCTAATGAAAACATGGGTTACAGTCCAAAAATAGACATCATGCAGTTAGTAACGGTAGAGGATGTCATGGCAGAACTTAGATTAGGACCTAATGGAGCTCTCATGTATTGTATGGAATATCTTCAAGAAAACTTTGACTGGCTTCTTAGTAAGTTAAGCAAAATTAAAGACAGTTACCTAATTTTTGACATGCCTGGTCAAGTTGAGTTATATACACATCATACTGCAATCAAAGACATTTTTGGACGTTTAGAAAAATTAGGATATCATTTGTGTGCAGTGCATTTGGTTGATTCCCATTATTGCTCAGATCCTCCAAAATTTATTTCTACTCTGTTGCTATCTCTATCTACAATGTTGCAAATTGGGCTTCCTCATGTGAATGTACTAAGCAAAGTATGTAATATTTTTTATATATTCTAATACAATAATTTTTAAAATCTATTGTAAGTTATCATAAAATAGAACTGAGAAAATAATAGATAGATACAATATTGTGCATAATCATTGTCGTTGCATTAGGCAGAATTTAATAGTTATGTAAATGGCTGACCTCTCATTTATTAAGTATAATATTGGAAATTACATACTTATTATTTAAATTTCACAGTAACATCTAGTGATGGGAAGACCTGGTTCATTTTGTTGACCCAGATCTTCTAGGTCATTCATTAAAATGACCTGTTTATAAAAATCCGTTCATATGAATGACTAATTAAATTTGTTGTGTAAACGTCAAGTGTGTAGAGTTTCATATTGATATGTTTATGAATCTTTCTAAGAGTATATGAATTAATGATAATGCAGGACCCGTTCATAGAGATTTCTTCATTAGAACGACTTTAATTATGTTGTTGTTTACATGTAGAATTCGATATTGTTACTATAAATTTAAGAATAAAATATAGTTTAAGGCTGACATTAACATTTGTATTTCTCAAATTATCTTCAGAAATCATTAAAATATAAAAAAAATACTTGGAAAAGTTAAGTAAAATTACAAATTCTATATTGTTTATGTTCATGAATGAATGGTAATGCAACAATTAATATGGATTTTATTTCCTACAAATTTATAAACAGAACAAACTACGGGACTATTGACTTGACAATTCTAATGTTTATAGTTTACAGTTTTGCTGCCTAAGGGTTTCGCCAACAGGTCTTCAAAAAGATCAGATCTTTGTGAACTGTTCATTCATGACCTTCTCGTCACTAGTCACATCTAATTACATGTTTTTCAATACTTTAGTAATCTTACTACATGGTTCTAATGGCAATTTTGTTTTTGTTGTGATATATTAACTGGTTTTTAGGCAGATCTTCTGAAGAAAAATGCATCAAAGCTTGACTTCGGTTTAGACTTTTATACAGATGTGATGGATTTGGAATATTTACTGGAACTTTTAGATGATGGTCCTTTTACAAAAAAGTACAAGAAGCTAAATGCAGCTCTTGTGGATATTATACAGGAGTACAGTTTGGTTGGGTTTATACTATTGAATGTGAAATCAGATAAAAGTTTGCTGGAATTGAAAAGTGCTGTTGATAAGGTAATGCTTATGTACAAACTATTATTGTTATATATTTGCTGGTTTTGTCAATCTGACAATGTAATTGACAGTTTTCTGTTAAATAACATTCTTAGCTTCTTCTTTTGTCTGTTGGCACCTGAAAGAGTATAGTCTATGGTGTGAAGGTTTTCAGCTCAGAATTCTTTTATATGCATCGATTTGCTTGAAGTTTTGACAGTAGGTAGAAAATAGCTTAAAGATCAAAATGTACTCTATGCCAATATGTGCTTTTCCTCTGTGGGTGGTTACCACCCCAACTCGAAGGTAGAAAAATTTATTAAAAAAATAACTCCAAAAATGTAGATTTTATCAGGAAAACTTTTTTTCATTCTTTTATTTCTATAGACTAAAAAACACCATTTTGTAGTTTATTTTAAAAGCTACAAATCTGTCTTTTTTTTGGAACATTTTTCTGTATCTTTTTTTTTAATGTTTTTATTTTAAAAAAGAGATTTTTTCCAAAAATAGTGTCTTCCATTTAAACTCAGATTCTTTCAAAACTAAACCTTCTAAACCAGTTGAACTTCCCAAATGTATTGTTTGCATATTATCATCATCATCAGGGCTTTTCATCAGTGGAGTGGGTGAATTACTCCACATTCCATTTGTATGTTGTATGACTTGGCTTTCGTTACAATTTTCTTCCACTCATTTCGATATGTGCATAGTTCACTTCAGTTTCTCACTTCCAGAATTTGGATATCTCTCATGACCTGGTCCTCCCATCTCTCTCTATGTCTTCCCCTTGGCCTTTCAGTTGCTGGTTTCCATCTGGTGATCTTCTTAATCAGTAGGTCATTTTTCCTTCTCTCTATGACATGTGTCTCAGCCTCTGTGCTTTATTAAATCTAACTATATCTTCTCCCTTCATTATATCTCTTAGTTCATGGTTCATTATTTTTCTCATTTCTCCATTGTCCATTCTTATGGGGCCCATATCCGTCTGAGGATTTTTCTTTTGAAAAATCTCAATTTTTGAGCTGCATATGTAAATACTGGTCTGATTGCAACTCTGTATATTTTCAGTTTTGTATTTCTGGATAAGTTCTTGTCCTTCATAAGCCTATGATATCTCCAGTATGTTTTGTTGCCTGCTAGTATTTGTTCCGTTACTTCTTCACTTCTCTTGTTTTGGCCATTCACTATTACTGCCAAATATTTAAATTGTTGTACTTTTTCAAAAGTGTAGTTTTCTATTTTGATTTCTCTCGTCCTATTATCTTCTCTTTCCATTCATAGTCATTTTTGTTATAGGGGTGTAACTGTTTTAGGGTTTTCCCGGAAATTATTTGAATTTTTCATGCTGTAAAAACCATCCTTAGACTTCAAGGAACATTTAAAAAAAATTGTTAAGATTGGTTCATGCGTTGTTGAGTTATGCACTTACCAACACATTTTGCAATTCATTTTTATATTATAGATTGTTTAGACAACAGTGGGAGCTTGTAATTTAGTATAAATTTTATTGAATAGCAATAAAGTTCAAATTCACTCTACTTTACTTAGACTACATTAATTACATTACAGTCTACATTAATTAGACCGTAGCTCATTTTCTTTTATGAAAATTCTGTATAAGCTGATTTAGAGAAAGAATTTTAATTTGTTGATTTTTTTAGGCCAATGGCTATATTTATGGGAGTGGTGAAGAGAGAAGTATACAAGCACTTTTGTCCTGTGCTGTTGGAGCCCGAACTGAAAGTGAAAGATTTGATGTTGATTATATGTAAATCTTTTAGTAAAATTTCAGATTTTTAAGCTTCTTTTGTAATTTTTCTTTGAAGTAAAAACATATTTTAAGTGAAAAAATAGTGATGTATTATTGTGTATATTGGTGCTATTATAAATAGTACATACATTTAAAGACAAATAAGTCAAATGTTCTGAATTGAGTACCTTATATATAGATAGATAGAATTTATTCATCACAAAGTTTACACAATTCTTACAAAAAAAATGTATAAATCTTATTGGACTAGTCAAAATTTTAGTACAAAAGAGTACAATATATAATAAAAATACACATGATTAAAATAAAACAGTGATTACAATAAAATAAATAAGAAATAAAAGTTACAAATACAAATTTAGAACTATTATTGCAAAAATGTTAAAAATTTCAAAATTCATCAACACTGTAGAATGTGTTGTCCATTGAAAATGAATACAGTTTGGCGAAAACCTTTATGTGAAGAATTAATGAGAGTTAATATATTGACTATTTTATTGTAACATTTTATTCCAATATATTCAGGTGCATGTTGGGATACAACTAATCTAGAGAAAGGCTGTCGAAAATTTGATTTACCCCTAGTATCATGTAAGTGAATGTCCTCACTAAAGTAAATCATTCACAATATATCAAATGAGATAGTTTCTCTTAAATTACGCATTATATAGCTACATGTACTTAACTTTGCTAATACATGATTTACGTGAGTTTCCCATGCAAGTTTATGATCTAGGGTTACCCCCAAAAAGAAAGCTCGTCAACATACACAATTGGCCTATTTTAAGTATGAAAATGTTTGATTTGTCTGAGATATTTTATTCTCAAAGCTTGTACTTCACTTCTTTCTATAAGCAATTTTCGGTTTTCCTCCAACGAAATTGCATTTTGCATAGAAGTCGCCTTAGAGATGTCTGTGAAATTGTGATATCCAAATCGTTATGAATTTTTTACCATAACCCGATATTTGTCTGTTTAATAAAAATCGTAGATTATTCTGCGAATATCTCTTGTTTGGTATTCCAGCAAATCTATGATTGATCTCCTTACTTGTTTTTTGCCAGGACTGGCAAACTGGACTCTGTCAGTATTTTTCAAAGAACATTTTGCCTCTCTTGTTATCCTTTCAATTGTTCTGATGGAAATTCCTGTAAAAGTAACTATAGTGATTCATTTTATCTAGTATGTAAGTATAAAAAAAAGTCTATATCTACTGCCATACCAAAAGACAGTACACAATATATTCATCTGCTAACGGGTGTAATAATTTAAGTATGTTAAAAAATGTCTTTCAATTATCGAGAGTAAGACCGATGTACATAGAATAATTATAATTTCACAAATTTTTGCAAACCTGTTTGTTTAAAAAGTTATCCCGTTGCAAACTTGAATATTTTTGCTATATTATGCGACACCCAGAGAGATAGAATATACTCCACTTAACAATACAAGGCAAGGTACACGGAAGAAGAGTGGACAGGTTGAAGAAGAATGTCATGGCTTAGAAACCTGAGAGAATGGAGAGAACAGATCCTCTGCATCCCTTTTCCGAGCTGTTGTCAACAAAATTACTATAGCCAATTTGGTAAACACTCGATAATCGAGCGCAGCACATGAAAAAGGAGAATGCCATATGATACAACCATGAAAGTATGTTATACAACTAAAAGAGAATGAATTAAGCAGATATGACTAATAACATATAAAGTCAAAGTAAAAACTCGATTTTTTTTCAGGTCAGGTTAGGTTTTCAATTTAATGTACAAACTTACCTGTAGTTTCTTTCACAGTTTTCAAGGTATCTGCTTCGAGGTTAAAATTTTTGAAATAATTAAACACATTATATATGATCTCACGAGATTGTCCATTAATAACAGAAGTAGTCTTTCTATTACTTTCTAACGCAATCATTTAAAGAAATTGTCACAAACACACTTAATTATCCAAAATAATATGAAGTCTGAAAAATAACAGCTGCACTTCACTTTTGTGTTACGCACCTGACTACTGGGAGGAGACTGATGACAACCATCCAATCCACCCTAAACAGACTTCAATTTTGGGTTTGTGCATCTCACTAACTTAAGTGGCATTGACAGTATCAATTATTATGTGAACATATTTCTTGTTATGGTCTAATGACCATGTCTATATTATAAATGGAATTTAGCCATACTAATTAGGGATAAAAATTTAATTAGGTAACAGTTGAAACCTTTTATGGAAGTAAGAAAGGTAATAAGCCTAAATTTTAGTTAAAAAATAATACAAATTTTTATTATTTTATTACAAACACATTAACTAGAGATAAATATAATTTTTATATGGAATTAGATGACATGAATTCTATTTTGCTGGAGGCTTGGCTTTCTGTTTCTCAAGTTGGGCTCTGGAATACAAAAATAATATTAGAAATTTATTTTATTATTTTCTTAGACTAATAAATATAAAATATAACTATGATTAAAGCTAATCAGGTCCATTCCCTTATCTCGGGCATATTTTGACAGATTCATTGTTGGAAACCTACAACACAACAATTCCTACTTCTCAGTATTAATAGTTCAAGTATACTACTACCATTGCAGACTTCTTCCTTTGAAAAAGGAAGAATTATTCTAAATAGTGGAAGTTTATATTAAATCCATAAAATTCTCCCTGTATATTTAAAATATGACATTGAGTTGTTACAGTTTAACATATTGTAGGAAATATTTGTATTATTCACATTGTTTATTTTATTAAATATTGTTTTTCTTTAATTCCTTTGTTAGTTCTAATTAGTTTTATTTTGAATTTTATTGTTATGGATATTTAAAGCTTTCCATTTGTTCCATCAGCTAATACGTTGGTAAGTATTCCTTTAACAAATATGATAAAATGTTTATTAAAAGTTATTTTTAGATGAGTAAGGATGCTGTCAAATTACAAGGTAATGAAATTGTACAAAGGTTTATTCAAAATGCCTACTCAAAAATAATTAAGTCACTTTATATGTCAAACTTAAAACTTTTACAGTAATTTAAGATATACCATTACTTCAACCGTCCAGATTATTATCCACATAAAAAGTAACTGTATATATTGAAAGGTCTACATTTGTTGGACTTTTCATTTAGCTTTTTAGGATAATATACATTATAAGTGACCTACCTTAACTGTTTGTTGAAATCATCTTCAACGTTATCGTCTTCCCAGTTATCCTCCCATACACTAATATCCTGATCGTCCTTTTCTTTTCCCGACCAATCTAAAACAAAGAAAATGCTAAAATAAGCAAATCATTCCACATAACCTCGTTTTTTATTTTTTACCTTCGACGGGAAATTCTTCAAATTCATCATCCTCTTCCAAAACCCCAAGATCTAGTTTGGCTTTGTCAGTCATTTTAAGATTTATTTGTATTTGAAATTTTAAGAAAGTATTTAGCGAAGATCTTTAGCGAAACAATTTATAATGGATATCTAACACCAATGAACTGACGTGTGACAGTTGACAGTGTGAAGTGTGACCAACTAAAATTTGTGAAATGTCGCCTGTCGCTACTGAGTGAGTACTGAAAAGTGCTGAAAATGAAAACAGAACAGATATTATAGTATAAAATAGTAAAAGATAAACTCCCATAGAAAGTTTTGGGAGAGTGTTTCTAGCGCCAAATACGGATGGGCCGAAACTATTTTTATTTGGCGGCAAATTTAAAAACTATGCTCTGGATTTGAGGCGCCAAAATTCAAAAAGTATGTTTTTAATGGAAAGTAAATATAGTCATAAAATAAGAAATAAAAACTTTTTCTTTGCCATAAGTATATTCTCTCTGTCCAAAACACATTTATATCATGCCCAATGACGTATTATACGTCATTGATCATGCCCATCATCGACTAAACAGGATGATGCCCATGACACAGAATAAAAAACAATCAGAATGTCCACTCTCAGATGCAGTCTTTGAAGTTTTTTAGCAAGCGCGCCATGTTTTAGAAGGAAACACATAACACACACACATATGATTTGTGAGGTTATGTAATTGTTTATATTTATGTTTAATTATATTATATTTATGTTATTATATTTAACAATGTTAATATAATTGTACAGTATGTCTATGATTGCCGTAAGTCAATTAAACCGGCTTAATTTTTCTATGTACACCACATAAACAACACTGGTTCCCTCTAAAACATGGCGGAACGTCTGCGCGAAGGAGATGCGCGTACTTAATTTTCCATGGAGAGTGGCCATTCTGATTGTTTATTATTCTGTGCCCATGATGCCCATCCAGCAAAAAGACAAATACCAACACCTAAAGTGACTAGTAGCGCCGTCGCCATTATGAACGGCTGGGCTCATGCAAATCACTCTCCCACTCGTCCGAATCCACTTACGCTACTATTGGGGACTTTGTTGTGTGCAATAAAATAACTAGAACAAACAAACCAAAATAAAAATAAATTTAACAACAAAACTAGCAATGGAGGTTATGAATAATATTTAATTTAATTTGAATTCGATAAAGTCATAATTTCAATATATGAAGCATGGAAAACGTTCAGAACTCAGGTAAAACCATCGACACCATACAACCTTTTATACAAACTCATCTTAAACTTTAATTTTTAGATGCATATTTTTTGATCCAAAAATTCTTATCCTCTGGTTTGCTGAAGAAAACGTTAAAAGTAAGTAATACTTTACAAGAGGTAATGTATTTAAAATCATTGTAGGAATACACATAATATTATGTTAGGTTGAGAAAAAAAATTCTAGATTGAAATTACACCATTATTTTTTAGGTTTTCAATGAAGAACTTGAGGAACATAAGGTAAGGCAAATTAAGATTCACCTACTTTGAATCACTTATATCAAATATATGAGAAATAGTTTTTATTTCCTTTTAAATTGTTGGTTTTTATGTGATATGAAGTAATAAGTTCTTTGAGATGTCTTTCGCATTGTTGTTATAGGTCTTTTTTTAGAATATAGGGCCTTTGTGTGGATGTGTTCGAAGGTACTGTAAAAGAAAACTTGTTTCTTTCACACCAATTCTTTAAAAATTGTTTTCACAACATAAAATTGCAAATTTTTATACTCCTTTCAGATTTATATATACAAATAACACTTTTTTGTGGTTTTTTTAACATTCATATAAGATAAAAATCTGAAAGGTGCTGCCCTGTTGGGATACTAGATTGTAGGAGTGGCTAAAAGAGTATAACTTGAAAAAACAGTAGCAGGTGAACCAAAATAATATAATATAAGAACATTGCAAATAGAAAATTTGCGATATTGATAAAACCAAGAGAGGAAAATGTTAACAATATTTTCCCCCATAAGTACATCTTTGTTTTTTTCTGTGTATATTCTTGTATTTTTTTTGTTTTTTAGATATTACCTACCCGTATTGATTGGGAAGGCAATAAACATGACAGAACAGTTGAGGATATGGTTAAACAGTTTCCCAATATACGACCGGACTATTTACTACATTTGTGCTGCCAGGCAATGAAATCCAAAGAGGAGAATGCTTTAAGTAAGAGTAAATCTTTTCTGAGTTTCCGGCCTAATATACACATAGGCAATGAATTCTTGACGAATTTTGGACAACTATTTAACTATGTTACTAGACTGCATGGAATACCATTACAAAATATTAAATTGTCATTCAATTTAGGTAAGTTAAAACATTTAAATATTTATTATTTACAATAATTATTAACTTCTTTCTTTTAGTTAATTCTTTAAGGAGCAGAGAAATTTCGGGGCCATTAACTAGGCACAGGACTATTACACCAAAATTATTTACATCAATGCAGATACAAAGAACAACTGTTGGACATTTATCATCAGTGTACTGTCTACTATTCGACCATTCTGGAAAATATATCATCACAGTAAGTAACTTAACATTTCACACAAAAAAAATTGTCATAACTGTTTGTAATTGTAGGGAGCAGATGATTTATTGATTAAATTATGGTCAGCTCACACTGGAAGGCTCATATCAGTGTTTCGAGGAGCTTCTTCTGAAATAACAGATATTGCACTTAATTCAGAAAATACTCTATTAGCTGCTGGTTCTATAGATAGAATCTTAAGGGTTTGGAATTTACAGAATGGGACACCTGTGGCAGTTTTAACTGGCCACACTGGTATGATAACATCAGTGAATTTTTGTCCAACTCGCTGTCTAGATGTACACTATTTAATCAGTACTAGCACTGATGGATCCATTGCTTTTTGGCCATATACTTATGAATCTGGAGTGAAATTAGAATTTAGGTAAAGAGATTTTTGTTATTCAATTGTATTTGGACTTTTTGATAATATATTCTCCTTAAAATATATATTAAATATGAAAAACACTGATTAATATGTTTATATCGTTTAGAAACAATCCTATTTTGTACCAAGAAAAAATTCGTCCAGGTCAAGCTCAAATGATCTGTTCCTCATTCAGTCCTGGCGGCACATTTCTCGCTACGGGCTCTGCAGACCACCACGTTAGAGTATATTACATGAAGGGTGACGAAGGGCCCCACAGGATTTTAGAAATGGAAGCCCACAGTGATAGGGTCGATTCCATTCAGTGGGCACATTCTGGGCTGAAGTTTCTTTCTGGTAGTAAAGATGGCATGGCGATCATTTGGTGGTTTGAAAAGCAGCAATGGAAGAGTATTCATTTGGATATGACAACTAAATTGACCTCGTAAGTTGATTTTTCTAAATATTTCACTTGTATTTATAAAAAACGATTATTTAGTTTAATTTTGCTATTGCAATTATGAATTTAATTTAGTTTTTGTTCAGTTTGGAATCTTAGGAATCTTAATAATGTATTGGCAGATAAATTCATGGATTTTGTAATGAATTTTTTCACCAGCAAAGATTTTATTTTTTCCTTAAAAAGAATTTTGTTATTTTATTCATTTATTTTTTAAACATCGTTCTTTTTACTATTTAACTGGGAATAAGCCACAATTAAAGATAAAAATACATTTATCTACGTTTCAATTTCCACTTCGGAAACCGTTCTCAAAATACAAACTTTGTATTTTGAGGTTTGTATCATTCTTTTTTGCATAATAAATTTAATAAGATAAATTTTCTACCTCTTCTGGAAAGAAATTTTGCCTGGCTCCCTAAATTAACATGGAATTAGTGCAATGACCTAGTCGTTTGTATCACAAAAGTGTTCTCTGAGCCATTTTTTGAAGTTTGAGAACTGAAGATACTTACGTGGGACAAAATCTGGCAAGTATGGTGGATGGTGAATCAACTGTATCCAAACTGGTTTAGTTTTGCTATCTAATGTCAGCCTTGTGAGTGGGTGGGTTGTTTTTGATGAAAAAGAAGATTTGCAAGTCAAACCAAGAGACAAGACAATCAATTGAGCTGCATAGTACATGTTAGCTATTTTTTTTTAATAATGAATTTAAATAACATCGTTCTCATTTCAATAGACAGTTGTCATGTTTTTTCAGTTTTTTTAGTGTTTTTCGTTTCTGAGGGTTTAGAAAGGAACCCATTCGTAATCAACAGTTACAATAGAACCATTAACAGTAGATTTTCGAGTTTATGGTCTTTTTTACATGACGCCAAGTTTTATTTTTCTGTGTCATTCTATTCTATTCGCTAAATCCCATCACGTGACATATTGCACGTAGCTGTATGTTAAGCTGCTTGGGTGTTGTGAGCTTAAGGCTCTTTTTGCATGCCGCTATCTTTATTTTTTGATGTCATTGGCTTCTATTCGTTAACTCCTATTATCTGATACTCATACGTCACGATCGCTCCAATAAGGGCGAAGATACAATGTAGTGCAGTATTGGCATGTGTCCATATTTTTTCTTTTTCTATGCTTTCTCTCAAGAAGTCAAAAATTACCAGAGCTGTCTCGTAATTTTCTTAGAATTTAGGGAAAATCGATATTTACTTAACTCTAATAAAATTGAGAATAGGTAAATTTTATTTGGTCACCTAGTGATATGTCTTCTTTACATTTATTTCATGAATATACAGTTTTTTGCTGCGTTTCTAGTGTCGTGCTTCTTTTTACTTGTGTTGGAACGGAATTTTGATCGTAAATGACTCTTTAACGGCACAACGTGTTGACTCATGTTGTGCCGTTTTCGATCTTCAAATTCCTTCTACCAGAAAAATCGTCAAAAGCCTGGTACACCGTTGCCAGATCTTGAAATGAAGAATTTTGTCGGGAATTCAGGGAAAAAATTTTACACAAATACGTATTTATTTCAGGTTAACCAATGCCCGGAAGCCGATTCAAAAAAGCTGAAAGTAACAATGGTCTGCTGGAACAAGTCAGACCTGTGGGTGGTAACCGCCGTTAGCGACCACAACTTAAAAATTTGGACTTCTAATACTGGCCAGTTGGTAAAAGTGCTTACCGGCCATACCGATGAAATCTACGTACTAGAAGCACATCCACACGAAGAGAACGTGATGCTTTCTGCGGGCCACGACGGCCAATTGTTCATCTGGGACATTTTGAAAGGCGAAATAGTTTTTAAATTTTTGAATACCTACGATGGACAAGGGTATGCTTCTATTTATGATGCGAAATGGAGTCCGGATGGATGTGTGGTAGCTGGATCGGACTCACAAGGCCATATTTTAATATTTGGGTTTGGAACTGGTAGTCCTTTTTTCCAACAGGTAAGCGTCTCGATTATTGTTCTTTTCTCAACTGTATTATATTTATTTATGAAATTACGTTCTTCCATTTAACATTTTTTATCGTTTCGATATTTTTTTGTATTTCTCACATTACACTTAAAGTAAATTTCGAGAAAGAAATGCAAATATGGTTTATTTTCTAGCTTCCTCAAGAATTGTTTTTTCATACTGACTATCGACCATTGGTGCGAGATTCTAGCCACGCGGTTCTGGACGAACAAACTCAAATACCGCCCCATCTGATGCCTCCTCCTTTTCTGGTTGATATCGACGGCAATCCGTACCCTCCGATGCTTCAAAGATTAGTTCCCGGCCGGGAGCTTTGTAACGTCGATCAATTGGTTCCGAATATTGTCATCGGCAACGAAGGTAAGTTCTAATTGAGCAAACTTGTGCGCGAATCGATCGTTTATATACTGCTTTTATACGTTAAGGGACACAAGAAGTTATCCAAGATCTTCCTCAGAATCACGTAGTAGCCATCCAGGAGAATCAGCAGGAAGATCGGGAGCAGGGTTCTTCGTTTAGACCTGGACGCAGACCATCGTAAGCAATATTTTTATTAATATTTACATAACATCTCTTATATTGAAAATGAGGACATTATATTAGGTTGAGAAGACTACGTAAATGATATGACGTATATTAAGCCGCCATCTTGACGGTGTGGTATGTATAATCGCCATCTTGAGCATGACACTAACTATACACTTAAAGGGAGCCGTCATATTGCTTCTTCCTGAACTCGACAGGAAGAATATATATATATATATTGTTATGATATGTAAAATCAAAAAAGAAAATTTCGTTTTGTTCAAAATATTTCAAAGTTAAAAAACATTAAAATAATTCAGATAAGTAGGATAATACCCAACAAACATTTCGAAGAAGGAAAGTCTTTACAATTTTGGATTACCTGTACTAAACAAAATGTAAGCTATGCATAAATTATTTTCTTTGTTATAATATACTTGAGTGACCCGCATAATTTTAAGTGAAATCCAAAGACAATTGAACCGGGTTTTTCCAAATACATTAATGCAGTGATTAAGGACAATAGAATAGATTTTAGAAAGAGGTTTTTGTTAGTTTTTAAGAATTTTAGAAAATATTATTTGTAAATAAGTTTTAGGAAATTTTATAATTATAGGTAAAAATTTGTTTGTTATCGAAATGAAAAAATGGGAGAATTGTGACGAGCTTTGATTGGCGGAGATTAAAAAAAGGTGGGATAGGTATGTAGGAATGAAAGTTTAGCTAGATTTAGGAAAGAGAAAAGAGAATCAGTTGGTTTCCAAGGGTGCAAGGCGAACGGCCGTTGTTTCTCGGGTAGTTTCCCAGAGGTAGAAAGCAGTAGCAGTGAAAGTTTGTGAGTTTTCGTGTAGTTAGTGTATCTGACAGAAGCTGATCCAGTAAAAGATTGTAAGTCATAGTTTTCTACTTATATTCCAAGAGTCACTGTTCAGGCCAACGAGAGATTCAGTTTATCGTAAAGAAAAGATATTCCAAGAGTCATTTTTCACTCAGGCCAACGAGAGATTCAGTTTATTGAGAGAAGAAGAAGCTAGCATAATTTGAACGATTCGTGCATTTGAAGGAGATCATTAAGGACGATAAACTTGCAATAATTTGTTGTAAGATTGCTGATTACCTAGGGAGCGGCTGAGAGTAGATAATATAGTCTACAAGGAACAAGGATTTGGACCACTCATCATCAGAGAGAGATATTTTTGTTTTCTGCAGTTTTTCTTTTATTGATAACACAATTTTTACACTTAATTTAGAAAGGATATAAATATTTTGATTAGGAGAGTTAGAATAATTTGGGATTTTGAGATTTCAATTAATATTGTTTGTACCATTAATTTTGAAGGTTCACGTACGCAGAACAAAATTTTGAGAATCATTATATGAGATTTTGTTTATTGAAAACATTTGAGTGTGAATTATTTCATTATTTTTATTTCAATATATAGTGTTATATCATATGTGTTTTTTATTATTCCGGTATTCTTTGGACCTTACCTTTCACATGTAATAGCATAGATATAGAAGCACGAATAAAACCCTGAGATAAGAGAATTAAAAATTGTGATAGAATCATAATCATATCATTTAAATAATTTAATTAATTAATTAAGTAATCAGCTAATTAATTGCTTGGCGCACCAAGACTTTAAATATCACAATAATATATATATATATATATATATATATATATATATATATATATATATATATATATACAAGATACAAGATATAAAATACTTTTTTCACTTATTCGATATTACATCTTTTTATTATAAAAAAATTGTAGCGTCAGGGAACACGAACGCATCAGACAGAGCACAGGTGATTGGCAGAAAGATCCGACGTTCAAATGGCAGAAGAACGTACTGGTGGAACCACTTAGTCCGGCTGTTTTGGAAAATTCTAGAGAGATTAGGTACGTTATGAGAATTTAAAAATATTTTGTTGCGATAACGTTTTTTTGTGTCTAGGGATTGTATCAAAGAAGCTGAAATGGAGGAATACCAGAAACAGCTAAGGCAAAGGCCGCATATGATCAGCATCAACACTTCTAGCAATATTAAAAAGAGGGAGGAGAGGAAGAAGAAAACTAAATATGTGACCAGATCTGCTGTAACATATGAATACAAGGTAAGAGCTTTTTTAACATTTTAAAATGGTACTTAGATATTCTCTCGGAAACAAAACTGGTCTTTATCATTCTCTTTTGATTTTCAATTATTTTGAATCATGATTACAATTAATTATTCGATCAAGATAAAAATAGCAACCTATAGGAAATCCTGAAACTATTGAAAAATCTTCCGTGGCCACCTAACTTCTAAAAATGACAAAGCACCTCTAAAAAAAAGAAAATAAAAACTTAATATGGGAGAAGATGGAACTAGTATGTTGTGCAAACCTTTCAATGGTGTTGGGCTTCAAGATTTGTCGTTCTTATAATGAAAAATAACCAAATTCCTGGTATTGATCACCGCAAAACACAGAAAACCCTTTTTTCTTATGCATATGACGCATCAGTGCATCATAGGTTTTGATGTTGTCTTATGCTTGGCGCATCAGTAACTCCTATTCTTTTTTTCGAACGGAATGACCACGAAACTCCTATTCTTTTTTTCTTACTCTCTAAACGTAGATTCTTATATATGACGCATTAGTACGTCATATGTTTTGATCTAATCATGTGTTTAATGCAGCAATGCGCTAGTGACGTATGTGTGCGTTATATGTATGTTAAAACTCGACGAAAAACAATCGAAACCCCTTTAAATGACTGTTGTCTTTTCTTTTTGACACCATGGCCATATTAAACTCACAAAATTACGTTAATTCTTTTTTTCTTACCCTTTAAATATGTTCTCTAGAATATGACGCATCAATGCGTCATTTTTTGATGTAATCATGTTCATGATGTAACAGTGCATGTGTGACGTGTGAGTGCATTAAATATGTCAAAACTCGACGAAAGAACAAAATGGAAACGACGTAAATGACTGTTGTCTTTCTATTTTAATACCAGGACCGTATTTACAGAATTTGTCACTGCGTACGACCCTGTAAACCCACAAAATTCCGTTACCTTCATTTTTCTTACTTTCTAAACCGAATATGACGCATCCCTGCGTCATATCTTTTAATGTAATCTTAGCTTAACGCATCAGCGCGTCATGCGTTATATGTATTTCAAATTTCGACACAAAAAATCGTCGAAAATAATTTTTAAATGATTGTCGTCCTTCTATTTTGATACCAAAGTACTATGTGTAGATCTCGCCGCTTCTCACGACTCGGTAAACCCACAAAATTTGATTAATTATTTTTTTCTTCTTATTCTCCAAACCAGACTCTTGCATACGACGCATCAATGCGTCATATTTTTTACATAATCATGTACTTAATATAGAAATGCGTGTGTGACGTATAAGTGCGGTATATGTATGACTTAAATAATTATGGTTCAGTTTAACATCAGGGCAGTATGTGCAGATCTTACTGTCGCTTTTGACACCGTAAAATAAAGAAAACTCTTTCAATTCTTCGTTTATTTAAACCTAGATTCTCGCATATGGCGCATCCATGCGATATACGTTTCATGAATGACGAAACCTGACCAAAAAACATAATCGAAAAATAAATGGTTGTTGTCCTCCCATTTTGATACCAGGGTAGTATTTGTAGAACTTGTCAACCCACGCAATTTCGTTAACCCTTTTTTTCTTATTGTCGAAATCTAGATTCTTGCATATGTGCGTCATTAGTTTTGATTTAATCTTGTGCTTGACGCACCAGTGCGTCATACGCTCGTTATATGTATTTCAAATTTCGACATAATGTTATCGAAAAGGCTTGAATTATGGTGGTCTCCTTATTTTGACACCAAATGACATCTTGTGTTTCTAGGACGACGAATCTTCCGAAAACGAAAACTTTTACGAATCGTCCGACTCGTCGGATTGGGTGGCAGAAGAAGAACAAGAACGCGAACGCCCCAAACGTTCTTCTCGACGCCAAAGAGCCACGCATGTATCCGATTCCGATGCGGACGACGATATCGACGTGGAGGTGTACGAAGACGAAGACTACGATGAAAGTTACAACGAGGATTCGAATCCTAGCTACAGCAAAGCCGGTTCGTCCAGAAAGGAGAACGGCGCAGCTAAACTGAAGGTTTGTATTATAACTTGTTACTTAGTGGTTAGTTAAACTTAGTTGTCTGGTAGAACGCGTCAATTTTAGCCGTGTCGAGCTTTCGATTCCTAGTTTAGAGGCTTATGTAGGGTTATGCGAGGGAAAAACACCAATTATTACAGTTTTTTGTTTGTTTTAACTTTTATTAACGTTTTTTTCTATAAAAAATCTCTTAAAAACTTATGAAGTTGTGTCATTTCTTATATACTTATTTAATTATAGAATGGCAAAAGTGATCGTTCGAATTTGAAGGAATCTCAAACGAACAAGGCCCCCAAGAAGGAAACTCCCACCCGAAAATCGAGACAACCTGCTAGTAGTAAAGGTTCGGACAGTAACAAAGACAACGGTAGTAGTTCGAGTAAAACTAACTCAAACAGAAGTAGTTCTGCGAAAAATGAGACTAGTACTCGTCAAAATGGTAGTGCCAGTAAAGAAACTAACCAAACGAATAAGGTGAGTGTGTCTGTATTAAAAATCACAATTTTACCACATTATAAATTTTCGAACCATTTTTACAGAACAGTGTCATGAATAGCTACTCGTCAAACCTTCCTAGAACATCGAAATTGACGAAGATCTCGGAACAATACAGACTCAGCGAGTGGTTGTCTGAAACGCGGCCCAGAAAATCTCCGTATTATCCACAATTGGGAGACGAAATCGTGTATTTCATCGAAGGCCACCAACTGTACATCAACGCCGTGGAAATGAAAAACGTCTATGAGGTCAGCGTCAAGGATCTGCCGTGGAATAAGATGAAAATTAGGGTAAGTGTTCTTTAAAGATCTCCTTAATTTATCAACACAACCTTAAACCCTGGATAAATCGAACAGCAATTAAACAAATTAATCACAAACGTCATCTATGGCGGAAATTTAAAGACACCGGGCTTCTTAGTGATTTCCCAAGCCACCGCAGATTTTCATCTTTCATCTTTCATCAACTTACAAACATCTCTAAAAACTCTAAGACACAATTTTGAAGCAAATGTTATTAAAAGTGGAAACATTAAAAAAGTCAATTGCTATTTAACTGGGAATAAGCCACAATTAAAGATAAAAATACGTTTATTGACGTTTAGAAATAAAATAAAATAGAAATGATGACATATTAGCGACAGTTGTCAATCTATCAAATAGACATTTAAATGCAACGGAGAATTTAATACTGTCAAAGGGTCTAAACTTTGCTATTACTCAGCCATCCGTTCCAAAATTAGACATAATAAGCTCAGTGGAGAAAATATCTCAATGCTTACCAACCCACGAAAACGAAAAATACAGAGTATTGAAACTTGATGTAAACTTGAATTGGAAAAATTTACTAAAATTGAACAAAACATAAGCAAAGAGGAACTAAAGGCTATAAGAACTTTAAAAAATGACGACTCCATAATCATCCTACCAGCAGACAAGGGGAATGCAACTGTGATAATGGATAAAATTCAATACGAAAACAAAACTTAAGATCTAATAATAAACGGACCTTATACAAAATTAACAAAAGATCCAACAAAGCCTTTGGAAAACAAAATATATAGAACTTTATTCAAGTTTAAAGATTTTTTAACAAGTTATCAGAGAGGATTAATTACACCTCATTAAAGTAAGACTCCTCATTTTTATGGAGTACCGAAAATTCATAAAACGAATATACCACTTAGATCCATTTGTAGTACCATGAATTCTCCTTGTAGTGAACTATCAAAATTTTTATTAAATATTTTAAAACCATTTACAAATAAAAATGACACATTCATAAAAAATACACAACATTTTTTAAATAAATGATCAAATATTGAATTGAATTCAAATAATACTTTGGTAAGTTTTGACATAAATAGTTTATTTACGAATGTGCCATTAAATAAGATTTTAAGTATAGTCAAGACAAAATTAGAGAGTGATGATTCATTGACAACTAGAACAAGACTAAACATATCGGCTATAATGGAGTTATTAACATTATGTACTGATAATACATATTTTCAACTAAATAATGAATTATATAATCAAAATTTTGGTCTAGCAATGGGCTCTAGTTTATCTTCATTTTTAGCCGATATATTTATGGAAGATTTTGAAACAAATATCATTTCTAAACAAAATTTAAAACCACAGTATGGTGGAGGTATGTAGATGATGTATTCTCAATATGGCCTCATGGATCAGAGTTGTTGGACACATTCCTAAATGATATAAACGATAAAGAAGAGACAATAACATTTACCATGGAAAAGGTAATAACACGCTACCTTTCCTGGATGTTTTAATCTCTAAGAACGATACTGGATATCAGACTCAGGTGTATAGAAAACCAACACACACCAATAGATATTTAAATTTCAAATCAAATCACAATATTAATGTGAAAAAGGGAATAATTAAATCCTTATACGATAGAGCCAAAATTACTTGTTCTAACGAAAATTCGTTCTTGGAGGAGAAACATTTGTTAACATCTGTTTTATTAAAAAATGATTATCCTTTATCGTTTATAAATAAGGAATTTTCAACAATCGATCAAATAGAACAGAACAACTAACGAGATCCTACACCATACACAAGGAATAATACGAGGAAAATAACAATACTGTACATAAAAGGATTATCAGAAAAACTTAAAAGGATAGGCAATAAATTCAACATTTCAACAACATTCAAAACAACAAACACGTTAAGATCTATTTTGTCCAAAACCAAACCTAACGATGAACAAGAAAGGACAAAGCATTGCATTTATAAAATACCTTGTGAATGCGATCAGTTTTATTTAGGTGAAACATCAAGGCCATTAATGTTAGAATAAGTGAACATCAATCTTATATTAAAAATAGAGAATTTGATAGATCTCAAATATGTAAACACGCATGGGATAATGAACATAGGGTTCAATGGAATAATTCAAATGTAGTCCTAAAAGAGACGGATGGTAAAAAAAGAAAAATCAAAGAAGCGGCTTTAATTATGCTAAATGAGGCCAATTGTGTCGCAAATTCCTTGGCAGAATGTAGTAGGATCTGGTTACCAATATTGAAAGAGAAAGTTATAAAAAAATACCAGTATTAGTAAGTCAGTAACATATAGACGATACATCATTTATGTTTTTTAAATAACGAAACATATAAAATCAGAATTTTGGTGTTTATTGAAGGTAAACTATTATTATGAGGTTTATTATGTCGGGATAGTATTATTATGAGGTTTTTTTCCTGGTTTTTCCCTCATAATTTACTATGGAATCACTAACAGGAGAATTTTACTGTCATCATGTCATGTGTTTGTCTTTTTAAAGACGAATTATATGCTATGATTTTTTTTTCTGACGGATATTTTCAAGTTAAAGTTGATTTCATGTAATCGAATGAACTATCTTATAAGTAAAGTCGTCACAGGAGCGCAACTCAACAATATTGGCAATATCATATTAATAAGTCGTCTACTTTAAAATGCATAATGTATGTCTGAATTGTCAATATAAATGAGTCAGATAAAATTAAATTATTAGAAGAATTTTTCACTATGTAACAAAAAACAAAATTTGTTTAATTTACTGTTTGTATTTTGAGAACGATTTCCGAAGTGGAAATTGAAACGTCAATAAACGTATTTTTATCTTTAATTGTGGCTTATTCCCAGTTAAATAGCAATTAATTTAAAATGCCACAAGAAAATAGCTTCAGAACAATATTAAAAAAGTCTACAAATACATACGTTCCTCCTTCACGTCTAAAGTTTCCATTCCTTTACTTCAAAACCCCTACCAGACTTTATGTTTTTCTGACAAAGGTTCTTCCGAAACTCTTTCTTTAGCATTTTCACAGGTTTTTACTAAAAAATCGAATGATGGCTATCTACCTGTTATTAACTGTAATCGTGTCGGCGCATCCTTACAGCAAGTTGATTTCACAGTGGATCATATCAAACAACACTTAATTAAACTTCGCATAGTCGCTTCACCTGGTTTGGATGGTTTGACACCAAAACTGTTAAAAAGGTGCGCAGTACCCTTAACGTTAATTTTATTATGCCAACTTCTTTCATCCAGAACTCCTTACCCCCTAGTTGGAAAATAGCATCCGCCACCCCTACTTTTAAAAAAGGCAACAAACTCGATCCCAATTATCATCCGATTAGCTTGCTGCCAGTAGTTGCCAAAGTTAGCCGAAGGAGAAATGGTAGAAATAATGGCTGAAACCATTATTTCCGAGGAGATGACCAAATTCCTTCTCCAGGAACATGTTACTCCAACACAACATGTATTTATCATGATGGCATGTAAATGAAGAATGCCAGACAAATGTAAATTCCTACTGGAACAGAATAAAGGAAGACATTGAAGCAGCAGCGAAAGAGGAAATAGGGACAGAAATTTGTGCCCGTAAAAATCATTAGTTTGACGATGTGGGCATCGTCCGACAATCTTTATGGGCATCTTTAGTCTTCAAAGGCCAAATATGGCCATCTACAATTAACAGCAATATATGTAGCTATTATAGGAATTTTCAAAATTATTAACTATTATAGTTTATCGGTTTGTTTTTTCTTTTTCTATCGTTTTAATTCCTTTTTACGTTGTTTTTTTTTTGTTTAAAATAATACTTAAAAACCCATGTCTGTTTGAACGCGTCAATCTCAGCACTGCATCTTGGTTCTTCTGACCTCAAATATTTTATTTAGGTTTAGTTCCATTTTAGGTTGTTTTTTTTTAAATGTCACTTAAAACTTACGTTGTTGCCTGTGGTGCTGTTGTGTCAAGCTTTCGATTCCTTCTTTGGAGGCAGAATTATTTCTACTTTTTTGTATTTTTAGTTTTTAAGGCCAAATTTGACCACCCCCAATTAATAGCAGCAATTTTAGACTTTGTACGAATAAAAAAATATCAATTTTTATAGTTTTTATTTGCTTTCTGTTTTTATATATTTTTTGTTCCATTTTTAGTCTTTTAAGACCAAATATTACCATCTCGAATTAACAGCGGCATCTACAGCCATTAATCGAATCAAAATGTTCAATTATTATAGTTTTTATTTGTTTTTCACACTTAAAAACGTATGACGGTTTGGATGCGTCACTTTCAGCCGTGTTGAGCTTTCGATTTGTACTTTGGAGGCATTTTCAGTATTTTTAGAGCGAAATATGAGCATCTCCAATTAAGAGCGTGCGATCATGCATCTCATCGTTTTGTTCTTGTCCTCGTACTTGTCCTCTTGCTTTGTTCCCGTGTATCCCTTCATCCTGCTTCGTTTCTTTCTTTTGATCAGCGTTTCTCACATCTTTCATTTCTCCCTCCGTCTATAGGTGCCGTCCTATCAAACATTAACAGATACAGTATAAGTATTTTTTGAAAAAAATTACATAAAAGCAGTTTTCTGTGTTATATATATACACATTTGGAAAATTTAAGACGGAACATAGGGATTTTGAATACAATTACTAAGATCCCCTGTCCTGCAATTACTCAGAGTAAATTTCAATATAACGTTGCGATGTCTTATAATTAATTCATTTGTTGGACTGGACTCCTTCTCCAGTCGATATTTTTCGACTGATGTGCACGTGCGCACCTTACCAAACACAAACACTACTTTTATTTCAGCTTATGGCGTTATAATGAGAAGCAAAGGGCATATGTATTTGTTTTCCTCGGCCAGTGATGTTCCTTGGGACTGTTGCCAAATCGGTAAATACCTTCGGCAAAAATCTGTAGATTTTGATGTATCATATACATCCTTTTAAATTTTAAATTATCAACAATATTTGAAATAATAAATATAATAAACTAGATACTAACCAATTCAAATAATATCTAATGAACACAAAAAAATTGTTATTAATAAAACATTGTTATTATCTGCACAAAAACACAGAAAATCAGTGGACGATAGGCAACAGTGTCGACGTACACCTGCGGAATACGCTACTAGAAATCGCGAAGGAGCAGCAATCCAGTCTAACAAATGAATTAATTATTAGACATCGCGACGTTATATTCAAATTTACACTGGGTAATTTCAGATCAGGGGATCTTAGTAATTGTATTAAAAATCCCTATGTTCCGTCTTAAATTTTCCAAATGTGTATATACAAGGTACTCTTCATTTATCGTTGAAATTGATTAAATGCAGATTTTCACAGCGTGATTCATTGTAATTTATGCTTCAGGATAGAGAATTCGCCAAAGTTATCGGCATTCAGTACGAAATCAAACCGCCAAGATTATGCTGTTTAAAATTAGCGCTAATGGACGAATCCGGAAGACTGACGGGCAAAGTGTTTTCTGTGAAATACCATGATATGCCCGATGTTCTAGATTTTTTCGTACTGAAGCAAATATACGTCACGGCGATGTCGAGAACGTGGAAAAACGGAAACAAGTGAGTAATTTATATTAAAGAACGTTAAAACTGTCACGTAGTTGTTGGAATAACCTTTCAGGTTCAGGTGTATGATAGATGACGAATGGTGGATCGGCGAGATCATTAATAAAGCCCCAGCTAGTGACGCTTATCCAGATTCGTCCGTTTTGTGCTACGAGATTAAATGGAATAACGGGGAGCAGGAGAGGATGAGTCCTTGGGATATGGAAATTATTGATCCAGAAAGTAAGTACACATTAAAAAATTTCAATTCTTGTATAAACTTTGTTTTGAAGCCAAAGAAAACATTTTTGTTACCTATAACTTAAGTAGGAGAAACGTACTTTGCAGTCACGATCTTAGCATTGACCTTAGAGTTCGAATGACATCTTGCTACATCTTTCCTGCCCTGCTGTATGGAGTGGAAGCGTGGACTCTAACTGAGGCTATCCTTAAACGCTTGACAGCCTTTGAGATGTGGGTATACAGACGACTACTGAAAATAAGCTGGGTCGAAAGAGTTAGAAATGAGGAGGTCCTTAGATGGCTGAACCAAACAACACAACTGGTCAATATAATAAAGAAACGCAAGCTGGAATACTTCGGTCACATTATGAGACACCCTGAAAAATATGATCTTTACATCTGATCATTCAGGGAAAGATCCAAGGTAATCGTGGTCCTGGTAGAAGAAGAACATCATGGCTGAAAAATCTAAGGCAATGGTATGGAAAATCAACTGCATCGTTATTTAGAGCAGCGAATATGGTAGCCAACATGATATCCAACGATCGATAACGGTCATGGAACTAGAAGAAGAAAATAGCTTAAGAAGATACCTACCCAGTTATAACGAATTTGTATATAACTGGGTAGGTACCATAAGACTTTGGAATAAAAACGTGGAGTCAATTGTGGATCTGATTACTACTACTTTTTCTTAAGGTGTTTTGCATTTCTGCGACCGATTATTATCTTATCAGGTGAAATATTAGATAGTGATGATTAAATTATTATTTTCAGCATTTCATATCTATGAATTGGACCTGCTTTGTAGCGTCGTATAGTTTGGATGACATAAAATAGCAACCAGAACTATGTAGTAAACGCTAAAATATTTGTACATACCTTTATCCATCAGAAACAAATTTCGATAGTTCGTTTGGTAGAGGCGGGCGTATTATCCTTTCGATTCGTACTTATATTTGATGTAGCCCAATATAAGGCCGAAATATATCATAGTACGACCGAAGAATAGACTTTGATCGGAAAAAGACAGACGGTTATGTCCAATAAAGGTGGATTCAGACACATCAGTCCCGGTGTCGAACCGGTCCTGTTTGGTCACAGAACTATTAATTATCTGACATCTGGTAAACTGTTCGTCACCTGATGAATGTAAATGCCGGCGCCATATTTCTATTAAAGAATATTTTGTATGACGGATTGTTCGGTTCGGCGCCAGGACTGTGACGAGACGTGACTGATGTGTCTGAATCGACCTTTAGCGGATCTCTATAAAGCAAATTACAGAAAATTGTTTCTTGGCTATGGAAGTATCCATTTCTTTTTTGAACTTGACGCTATTTTGCTATTATACGTAATTTCAGGAATGCCTGAAGATGAAAGTCAATCGATTCCTGTCCTAGAAGAAGAACTTACGTCGATACTCTATAAAACGATACAGTGTGACTGGCCGTACAGTGACTTGTCCTTGATTACGAAACATATTGTAGCAGGCATAACCAGGGTAAGTGTTTTTTTACCTCATTCAAATTATAAACCTCGCAACAACGATGACTCTTTGTTGAAGTGTAAATAATCTGGTATAAGCACCGAAATAAGTCATTTGCACGAATAAATAATTTTATTTTTTAGTCAATTAAATTTTATTATCTTTTTATATGAATTATACAAATTGATTAAACACTTAAACGAAAAAGTTTAAAAGTAAAAAGCTTTAAGTAAAAAATTAAAAAACGAAAAAGTACACAAACGCAAATAAAAATGTAACGTCTAATCTTATAAAGACCAGGGCGTTAAGCAACACCATACTGTGGGAAGAAATGAGGGGAGATATTCTTCGATTATCCCTAAGGATATTCAAGAGAAAAACGCTCACCGTTCATCCACCAGACTGGTGCTCTGCCCGACTGCTCAGCCATGGGTTCATTGCCTGTTCATTCTCCCTCTACACCAATCCTAGAAAGGTACAGGAAATAAAAATACTTGTTAAGCCATAACAAAAGGTATATTTATTTATTAATAAAAAAAAAAAACAACATTTATATTATGAATGTCAAACAAAGATAAATAAACTGAGAACCAAAGATTAAGCCGGTTGTCTGTATGGAATAACTAATGTATAAGAAAAGTACTCAGCTTTATTTTGTTCGGAATGAGTTGTCCAGTCTTTCAGGGAGGGTTCCGGTGCTTGCTGAAGCTAGCCGCTGTCGTTGGATTCAAGGAGAGTTGCTGGTCTAAATAATGGCAATTTTCTTCCCATGTTACTAAACGAACCCAGGGCTGAGCAGTCGGGCAGAGCACCATTCTGGTGGATGGAACGGTGGGCATCTTTCTCTTGAATATCCTTAGGGATATTCAAAGAATTTTTTCCCGCAGTGTGGTGTTGCTTAACGCCCTGGTTTTTATAAGATTAGACGTTACCAAATGGCGCCCAACGTGGGGCACGAACCAACGACCCTGAGATTAAGAGTCTCATGCTCTACCGACTGAGCGTCATAACGTTTAAAATTTTTTTTTGGTACCTTTGGGAGTATGTAACGTTTCAATCAACCGAAAATTCATTGAAAGAAGTTGAAAAACAAACAATACATATTAATGTACAAAATAACAAGTAAATTAAATAAAAAGTTCAAATATTTCAACCACCTTCTTTTGCGAAGTAAACTTTAACTAGCAGTTTGTTCTAAAATAATGTGAAAATTTACATTATTACAAACATTTTCGCTATTTTCAATATCATCATCTTCGTTGCCGTTCAGTTCCTTCGGATTATACCTCACGCTTTCGATTTGAGGACTAGTCCTGTTTTGTTTACCTTTGTTTCTCAGGTCTCCCTTGGCTTTTTTGTTGGATTGGTGTCTATATTGTCACTTTTCGCTCCTCGTTTGCTGTTTAATAAACTATTCTGAGATAAATGTTCACGTTTTGTGAGTGTATCTAATCAAAAGATGTTTCTTCGTTAAGAAGTTCGTATTGGTAGAAACTTGTGGTTTTATCTCACCTCAATATTTCTGCCTTTCTCTTTCACTTTCATATTATCAATATATTCTTTTATGTTTATCCGCTTGTTCTCACTACTCTCTTTTGTGGCCACTAATTGAATAGTTTTTCTTGACACTTCAGTTGAATGGTCTTTTTCAAATTATATTTTGTTATTTGTTTTATATAGGTGATGGAATTAGCAATAGCCGAGCCGTTTTTGGTACCCGTCGATATAAACGAATATCCTCTGTACGCGATGGTAATCGAATATCCAATCGATTTATCGACGATCAAATCTCGATTCGAAAACAAGTTTTATAGAAGACTGACTGCAGCTCAATTCGACATTAGATATTTAGCCACCAATGCGGAAAAATTTAACGAAAAACATAGCAAAATCGTAAAACATGCCAGAATTTTGACCGAACTATGTTTAAGAATTCTAAGGTAAGTGGCATTTTAGCTTAAATTCGAAACATCGTGCAAATAGGCACGGTATGTCCATTTAATACAGCGGTCGGGGAACTTTTTTAATCATTACCCCAAAACATTTTTGTGTAAAAAGGCCTCTTTTTAGCATAATTCATATTATAGCCCCCATGATAGTTTTGAACAGAAAACAATAACTAAAACATAAAATAAACATCATTTATTCAATTTCTATGATACCTAGAAATACATAACATAATAATATATAACAATAATAAGATATAAAAAATTAAAACCCATTGCGGTACTGTAACAAATTATAATAATAATGGTTGTACTAACAAAAATTAGAATTGAAAAAATTATAAAAAAAGAATAATTGAAAACATTCTTCCTTCACGTTTTGGAGAAATGATGTTTCATGTTCGATACAATTGCTTCAAAATTGGGACTTTTTGATGTAAGAGCGATTTGAATACAGTCTACGGCGTTTAATCGATTTCTGTTCTTCGTTTTTATGTTCACTAGAGTGGAAAAGCCTTGTTCGCACAAATATGTTGTTCCAAATGGCAACAATTTTTTAATCGCCTCTTCATGTGCAATTTTGAAAGCCTTTGCAGCTTTTGATATCCAAAAAGACGACAGATTTGGTATACTCTCAAATTGAATACGTGCTTCAGTATTAGATCGAAGTTCAAGAATTGCTTCTGCCAAACCTGAAGGTTCTTCTGGTATCATATCAATTTCACATTTAAAAGGATCTACAATCCAACTGACAGTACGTATATCAAGATCTGGAAAGTAATCTGAAAACCGCTTTCTGAGTTTGATAAGATGTCTTACAATTGTATCCTTGATGTCAGCTAAAGTAATATTTTCGCAATCTTCCAAAAACAAAGCTAACCTTGAAAAAGAAGCTATCTTGTTCTGTTCTACTTTCTGACTCCAATATTGCAGCTTTAATCCAAACGCTGACACTATTTCTCTCGCTGAAATGATATTAATATTCTTTCCTTGCAATTCTTTGTTTAATATACTTATACTCTCAAAAATGTCAGCTAAATATGCGAGATATGCAACCCACGAAGAGTTTTTAAACTTATCTGCGAGAATATTTTTTTGATCAACCATAAAAATTTCCACTTCAGTTTTGAGAGTCCATACTCGATTTAGTACATTTCCGCGAGAGAGCCACCTTACTTCTGTATAATAAAGTAGGTCCGTATATTAGGCTTCACCGTCCTGACATAATTCACGAAATAGCCGCGTGTTTAGTGCAGGTCTCTTGATAAAATTTACAATCTTGATGACATCATGCATGACGGCTTCCAGTGTAGGTTCTAAATATTTGACCATAAGGGCCTGGCGATGGATCATACAGTGAATAACTTCAATATTTGGGTTATTTTTTTTTACGAAAGCCGAAAAACCATTAATATGGCCCAGCATAGCTGGAACTCCATTCAAAGATACTGAAATACAGTTTTCCAATTTTAAACTTTGCGCATTGAAGTATTCATTTACTTTATTGTAGACATCAATTCCACGAGATTTTAACTCGAGAGGAGAACAAAACAGCAACTCCTCTTCAAAATTATCTGCACCTTTGTAGCGAACATATACCATTAGCTGTCAATTGTTACTAAAATCAGCTGTCTGATCAAGCTGAATAGCAAAATATTTAGCCTGTTTTAATGAGAAAATAACTTGTTCCTTCACATTTTCTGCTGATATAGAAATTCGTTCTTTCACAATTCTCGCAGACAAGGGCACTGAATTCAGTTTGTTCGCTTCTTTTTGACCACACATAATCTCTGTCATTTTTACAGCAGCTAGTTTAACAAAATCTTCACCAATAGTGTATGGTTTCTTATTTCGAGCAATCAACCAGGCTACTTCAAAGCTAGCCCTTAATGCTGAGCGCTGATCAAATGTACCAAACAATTTGCTATTCAATCTTTGTCTTTTAACAGATATTTCTAAATTTGCAAAGTATTCTCGCGGTTTGGAAGATAGGTGTGAATGCAAATTATCTAAATGTTTCTTCAGTTGACTTTTTTTTGAAAAATTCTGAAGTCAATACCTTCATACATACAACACACTGTGGTTTCATTGTACCATTGTCTTCTATTTGTGTAAAACCGTAATTAAGGAATTCGTCTTGATATTTTCTTTTTCTATTTGCTGCCATCTGAAGGCGACAGAAAATAATAGTTGTAAAATACTTAAATTAAATTTTCAAATTGCGACGTACCTTGATCGATATATCGATGATTAATGATTGTCAGCAACTAACTATAACTCCCTGGCTCGTCAATGTATTTGTATTCTGACTGCACGGCACGGGCTGAGGGAGAGGGACTGAGCAGGTAGCCGGGGCTCGGGGCTGTGCTCTACTGCGCAAAGATGTAACTCGAGAACACTCTACTGGTGGTGAGTGCAGTGGCGCACCCAGGGGGGGTTTTGTGGTTTAAATTTCCTCCCAGGGCATATAAAACATTTACAAAGGATAGTAGGAAAATGTAATTTATTTTTCACAAATAATACAAAAAAAATTCGGTGCATGCAAAACAGGTTTATAAAAAATCAAATTAAAATATATACTTTTTACTCACAAGTTTTATTTTTACCCCATTTGGGGTAATTTACCACGGTTCCCCCACCGCTGATTTAATATGTTTCTTTAGAGATTTAGTAGTGAATCTACAAATATTCAATTGTTTTGAATCGTCAATGTCTTGTAACTTTGTATACAAACTAAAAACAATAAAAATTTTAACAAATTACAACAAAATAACTCTTTTTCAATGCGGAATCTAATTTTTGTTCTCCCAGAAGTTAATTTGATCTCATTTTTGTCTTGTATCTTTAGACATTGCTCAGAGTATGTAGACGTACCTAGTCTTTACCACCGACTCGTCAGTTCGTACGATTCTTCCGAATCAGAGGAAGAAGCAGAAACGCCGTCCACAAGTAAGAACTTGCGAACTGCAACTAGAAAATCTACACACGATCCGGATCAGTGGCAAGAAGAAGCAATGACTCTCGTCAATCAGTTGTGGACCAGCGAGGACGCGGGTCCGTTCAGGCAACCCGTCGACACCACCGTATATCCAGGTAATTTTTATTAAAATATATACGAGAATTTTCTTGACCTACGCGGAAAAAAAATAGTTGATCTGTATGTATGAACAACTTTTGATTTTGCCCTCGTAAGTTGTTACTGGAGCTGTCGTTGTCATCTGTCAAGTGTCAAACTTTTAACCAGTGCAGTAATATCAAAGAATATAGACGCATATAGAAGGGCAGTTCAAATGGGCGATTTGGTTACGGTTATTATACTTCAAAACAATCCTTAAGGGGGCGACTGCATAAACTCGCCGTGGCAGTCGCCTTAAAAACCATCATGAAAGGTGTAGTTAGGGGAAATGGGGAAAGGAGTACGAACGGAGCAATTTATTCAACTAATGCATCTACGTGTAATCAAATGTCGATGCCATTGATTTGCAGACTGTCTTTTTTTGTTTTTTCACAACAAATTCTTTATTTTTAATATATTTAATTGTTAAATTTTTAATTTTAAAACTTAAAAAGGTTATTATTTACAATATTCAAAGTATTATTTTTTTTTATTACATGTAAATAAAATATTTAAAATAGGTCTGTTCCAACACTACGAAAAACCGTCACATAACTTTTTATTATACTGTTTTCCTGCCCAAAAATTTACGAAACGTTTTTAAAAATTTTCAAAATTTTTCAGCCAAAAATTTAATTTTCTTTGAACTTTTCATCAAACTTTTTAGACAATTCTGACTCTGCCCTTTAATTTGCAAGATTGTCATTCCACCAGGATACTTTTCTGTTGAAATTCTTCACAGCGCTTAAAGACAGTTATCTTTAAGCGCTGACATGACAATGAAATTGTACGCTGGCCATGTCTGCGTTAAATGTATGCCTTATCGTCCCTTTAATCTTACCTAAACAATATTCCAGGTCTGCTTGATATGCTTCCCAATTTGTTGTACGAGGATTACGATAGGTTTCCTTGATATGCTCATTGCCTGTCTCGATGGTCTGAAAGCCATTTTTTGACAGTTTGGTATTTGTACTGTCGTAGGACAGATGGCATTCATATCAGCCAATGATTAATTGCAGTTCATTTTTCATGCAATCTCTCACTAACTGTTCCAACTTCCTTGATGGTTGTTTGGGATCATCATATGGGAGGTAATCATCATACAATTGTACAAATTTTATACAAAAAGCTTATAACGATAAGACAAGAAAGAAGGAAAAAAATCAGAATAAAAATCGTTTGTACTTTTAAATAATAAATTAAATTTGATGAAAGTACATTTTCATTCTGTTTATCTAAGATAAATTCACAAAACTCCATCCGCCTAATGGAGACCATACACGTTAAGCACAGCTAAAACCTTTGGTTCTTACCCTCGTAAAGTGTTATTACAGCTGTCGCTCTTATCTGTCAAGTGTCGAACTTTCAAACACTGCAGTAATATTTTTTTTATATACTTTATTTATTTTTATTTGGGATTGTTCATCCGAATATTGTTATTGCTTTTTTGAAAACGTTCATCTTGATATTTTCTTTAACAATATTATTTTTTCATTGAAAAGATAGAATTGTAGTTATACTTGCCGAAAAAAAGAAATATGCTTTTCTGTGTTTATTTATATTTTAATTTTCTTTACGTAAAATTCATTATTGTATGTCACGCCACGTACGTAATGCATCGATATTTATTATTTATAGATTATTATCAGATTGTAAAAAGTCCAGTGGATCTCGGAATGGTTAAAGAAAAATTGTCCAATAAGGCGTACGGCAATCCGCAGCCGTTTTGTGTGGATATGAGATTAATATTTTCGAATTCTCGTTTGTATACGCCGAATAAGAAATCTAGGGTGAGTTTGATGATCTTTTACTATTAAAATTAAGCTATAAAAATGTGTGCGCCAATAATATCTGAAAAGATACAATGCATACTTTTAGAGGAGCTGTAGACACACTTGTTTTTAATTTCTAAATAAACTATTTTTATTTAGATTTAATCGTTTGTCAATATGTTTCTTTAGATATACGACATGACGAGTCGACTGTCCAGTATGTTTGAAGAAAGCGTGAAACAGATATTGTCGAAGTGGAGGACAGCGATAAGAAGGAAAAATCGTAGGAAATCAAATACGAGCGACAACGACAGTGAAGCTTCGACTAATTCTAGCTCAAGTAAAGAAAAATCTGACTCGGAAAATGGAGTATCCAACGACAGCGATAACGGTTCCGTTTTGGGCCACAAAACCACTACGTCCTCGGAAAGTGGTAGCAACAGTACTGTACAACCTAAGGAAAAAGTCACGAGAAGCATGAGAACGCGTAAAGATGAAGATGCAGACGAATATCATCCTCGAGGTAAGTCAGTGTGTCGTTTAACATGATCAAAATTATCCATATATATATTTCAGAAGAACGGGGTCCTTCAACAAGAAAAATGGAGTACCGATCTTGTTCAGAAGAGTCTTCCTTATCGTCAAGCGAAGGTGAGGGCGTATACTACAAAAGAAAGAACACTCTGAGGCAAAGATCCGCCAGGAAAAAGCCCAACACCTACGACAGCTCGCAATCTGAAGAAAGCGTTAGTTCGACGAGAAGATCAAAGAGAAAACGGAAGAAATCCGAAAGCGAAAGCAGTGATAAGTCGTCTAGTGGAACGAATACCAGGCGAGAAGAAGAAGGCACTTTCATTTCGGCCGTTAGCAGCAGAGGGAGAGTCCGCAAAATAACGGATAAAGCCAAAGCTTTGTTTAGAAGGAAGTAAATTTTGTTCAATTGTGATTTTTCCAAAATGTTCATATTTTTTTATAGTTGAGAATTGGTACTGTGGCATGGAACGTACTATATATATTTGATGCTACACAACTTGTTTAAGGGAAATGTTAAGAATATCCTTATTGATTGTTTCAGTTTTGTACTGCCTTAATATTAGTTTGTTAGGTAAAGAAAACACTGAAAATTTGTGTTTTATTAAGTTTACAACAGAAATAGTTGCTTACTTATGTTTAGCTGTCAAAATACCTTTCTTGCGTTCGATTTAAATCTTGTTTGGTGCTAAGTAAGGAAGGAATATCGTTAGGAAAAGTGACAGTATTGCTTAATAATTTAAATAAGTCTTCATTTTATACTCTTAATTTTTGGTGACGTTTTTACGGTCAAAGTTCTTCCTTTCTTTTATATACGTTGAGACTAGAGAAGCATTTAAAAGAAGCCTTCAAATTCGCATTAGAAAAACGGAAAAGATGCATGGACCTCAGTATTTTCGTTAAGTAAGAAATATGTGTGAAAATTGTAACCAAACTAATTACTTTCAAGCGAAAAACGTTTTTGCTGACAAAAATATCACAAATAATCCTCCTGGTTTGTACGATTTGACACCATGTGACTTTTGTCTGTTCTGCAAAAACTTTGAATTAAAATAAACACATTTTCGTAGGTTTAACGCTTTTATAAAAAACGACAGGTTTTACAGGGAAGTTTAAAGAAAAACCTTTCTGTAAAATAATGAAAAATAGTCAAAGAACTCAATTTTGTCGTAGGTATAAGAAGTGTGTGCAAAAATTTGTAGCTGTAGTTATCACTTTTGAATAAAAATTGTTTTTACTGACAAAACTGTGTCAGATAATCCACCTCGTTCGTCCAACTTGACACTACGTGAATTTTATCTGTTATGCACGGAAAATGTAGCACCAAAATAATAAAATTTTCTTAGTTTGGAGCTGTGGAGGAAAAATCGTCACGGTTTATAGAGGAGAAACGGTGAAAAATATGCACAGAGCTTTTTTGATGCAAACTACAAATTATATGCGAATATGATAGCTGTGATTTTCACTTTTAAACAAAAACGGTTATGCTGACAAAAATATATTAGATAACCCACCTGGTTCGCACGATTTGACACCGTGAGAGTATCTATTTGTTCCTTAAGGAAAAACAAAAGAAAAACAAGCGAGAAGTTTTATAGGGGAGCTTAAAGAAATTTCTTTCAAACGCTCTTTAAAATAATGAAAAGTACTCAAGATCAGTTTTTTTGTTCAGTACGAATTGTGTGAGGAAATGGTAGATATAATTCTCCCTTTTAAATCGAAAGCAGTTTTGCTAACAAAAATATGTCAGATAATCCTTCTGCTTGGTCCGATTTGACACCATGTGACTTTTATCTGTTATGCACTGAAAATGTATACATATAATACTCAAATAATCAAGTTTTCTTAGTTTGGAGAGTGAAAGGAAAAAGCTTCACGCTTTATAAAGAAGCATATAAAGCTTTCTTTAAGACAGTGACAAATATGCACGGAGTTCAGTTTTGTTGCGAAGTACGAATTGTATGAGAAATTTATAGCTAGAATTCTCACTTTTAAACAAAAACTGTTGCGCTGACAAAAATATCTCATATAATCCACCTGGTTCGCACGATTTGACACCGTGAGAGTATCTATATGTTCCTCAAGGATAATGTTGCATTAAAATAAACAAAGAATATCCTGGCTTGCTAGCCTGAGAGCATGGTATAGAAATACCTCAACACAGCTATTCCGTATAGTAACCAACAAAGTCATCATAGCCAGAATGATCGCCAACGTTCGAAACGGATAAGCACCATAAGAAGAAGAAAATAAACAAATGTGCGTAGTTTTAGCTCTGTTAAAAAAATATGGGGCGTTGTATAGGGGAGCGTAAAAAAAACTTTTAAACAATGGAAAGTACTCAAGGAGGTCAGTTTTTTTGTACTGTAAGAATTGTCTGAAAAAATGATAGGTAGAATGCTCATTTTTGAATCCAAAACGGTTGTGCTGCCACAAAATATGTCAGATAATCCTCGTGGTTCGTCCGATTTGACACCATATGACTTTTATCTGTTGTGCACTGAAAATGTAGCACCAAAATAATCAAATTTTCTTAGTTTGGAGGTGTGAAGGAAAAATTGTTTGCGAAAACCGTTGGTAGAATTCTCATTGTTTAATTATAAACGTTAGTAATAACAAGATTGTGTCAGGTAATCCACCTTCTTCAGCTCATCTGAGATCACGGACTTTTATTTATTCGCTAAGGATAAATCTTCACCATAAAGACTAAAATTTTAGTTATAAATGCTTGAAGAAGCCTTCAAGCATTTATTAGAACATTGAAAAATATGTATTATACTTTTTTGTGGAAAGCAAAAGATTTGTTTGCGAAAACCGTTGGTAGTATTTTCATTGTTGACATCATTGACAAAAATCCACCTTGTTTGGCTGATTTGACACCGTGTGACTTTTATTTGTCCACCAACGGTAAATTTGCACTATAGGGACCAAAAGTTCGCACTTTTATAGTTGTGAAAAAAAAGAGAAGCAGCGTGTGAAGGGAGATATTTAAGTTTAGGTTTATATTGAAGAAAATATTCTATATATATATATATATATATATATATATATATATATATATATATATATATATATATATATATATATATATATTATATATATATATATATATATATATATATATATATATATATATATAAACATAACTAAAATGTGTTTCAGCAATAATTTGTTGCTTTGTAGACAACATATTTTTATTGATTCCAATGGTTTGCTTTCTGTTGGGCAACTTTACTTGATAATTTTCGTGTTTCAAGTGGCGTATATTAATTTATTGAATTATTATAATATAGTATAATTTATTTAAAATATAAATAATAAAATTTCTTTGTTCAATATTATTTAAACTTTAAAAATACAGAACCTATTGTACAATTATTTTTGTAATTTCAATAAATAATTCTTTTAAATAGTGGCTCCCTTCAAACGAGTCGCATAGGTCTACGATTAAGAAATTGTGTTCGCATTGTCTGATTAGCATGTTTTTAAAAAGTCTTTATTTTGTAAAATTATTAATCTTTAATGATTTATTAAATGAAATTTCGTACACAAAAGATATTTTTTATCGTTGTATAAAGAATGATTCGACTGTCTATTTTCCTTTGTGTGTTTCAAGACTGTATAAACAAACAACAGTTGCATCAAATCTAGTTCAGTTTAGGTGATGCACATTTCATTATTTCTTCCTGTTTTGTATACCCGTTGTTAAACTGTTTATAAATTGTTAGATATAAGTAGGTGTATAATTTTTTTTTTTTCGTATAAAACAAGTAATACATTGTATACGTTTAGTAATATATTTGTATTTTTGTGTTTTTTGATTAATCCCAAAACTGACCAAGATTATTCCCAAATTATTTTGCGAGGTAAGTAGAATCTTTTAAAAGGCAGAAAGATATATAACGTGGCCTTACTTAAGGACCAACAAGTGGCAAAGAGGTTAGAAAATGAGATTAACGCAACATTTGAGGAAGACAACTTAATGTCTGATACATTGGAACAAGAATGGAGTAAAATTGAAACATCAATGACAGAAGCAGCTAATGTTTGCTTAGGCAATACAGGAACGAAGAGAGAAGAAGACTAAGAAATAAGGAAAAGCTAGAAAACACTGCAGAGAAATAACAGATGGGCACAATATTTAGAGGAACTGCTAAATAATGAAGAGCAGATGAGGGAATAGACCAATCAGAGGATAATGATAAGGAGTACGTGGAGGAAGCAACAGAGCAGGAATAACGGAAACAATAAAATGGCTTAAAAGCGCAGGGAAGAATGGAATCCTTGCGGAAATTTTAAAGGGAGGAGGGGTCACACTGCAAAGGAAGCTATGTAATTTGATACTGAGAGTGCGGAGAGCGGAGAAAATGCCGGAGAGATTGAGTAATTTGCCCAATACACAAGGAAAGTGACAGAACCCGTTGTGAAAATTAAAGAGGGATAGCGCTACTGGATGTTATGTACAAAATATTAGCAAAGGTCATACAAATTAGATTGAAAAAATACGAGAATGGCAAGAAAGGGCGTTTAGAGCAGGAAGATCGACATTAGATCAAATATTTACCTTAAAATTGATACAAAATAACAGTTACTATCAAAATCTATGACTCCACATGCTCTTAATTGATTTTAAACAGACGTATGACTCTATCGATCGTATAAAGCTAAATAAATATAAAATGATTGAAAATGTCGCTAACGTAAGTACAAACATTAGAGTGGCCATAGAAGAAAGTATGACAAATCTGGTTTCGGTTACAAGGGGATCCACTTTCTACTGATCTGTTTCAAATTTGTCTTGGAGGCAAAAATGAGAGAAAGTAAGATCCAAACTACGGGTACCATTTTCGACTATAAACAGCAATGTATAGCGTACGCAGATGATGTAGTTCTCTTAACAACCCAAAAAGAACTTGAACACATGTTTAAGAACTTTGAAAATGAAGCAAGAAAATTTGGGTTTGAATATAAATGAAGCGAAAACAAAGTATGTGAAAATGCTTGGTGAGATAACAGAACACAATAAATTCGTCTCAATTAAAATGAGAGAAAAATAGGTATTACAAAATTGAAAATGTCACACAAGTATTTGGGTGTATACACACAACAATAAGGAATAAAGGTGAAGAAGAAATGGAAAAGAGATTATTAAAAGGAAGTAGAGCAATGGTCTTATTAAACAATATTCTAAAAGCAAAAATGTATGTGGTGCAGCAAAAATTCAAATATGTAACAGTCATTCGGCCAGTGGCAGTGTATGCCTGTGAGACTTGGTCTATGAATAAAAAAGATGAAATAAAAATGGAGATCTGGGAAAGGAAGGTGTTAAGGAAGATTTTTGGTGGTGATGGCGGAGGGAAACTGGCGAAGAATAAACAAATAAAGAGATAATGGAGATGTATGGGAAACCCCTTATTGTACAAAAAGTTAAAGCATAGAGAGTTAGTGAGAGTGCCCACTAAAATGACGTGGCAAGTAGCACGCGTCTAGCATGTTACTTAAAATGTAACCAATGAAAACGAATGATTCAGCGCACACCAAAATGACAGTGACGTCATTCGATGTTTGCCTGTACCGCTATTATATATGTATTATGTTTATTATGGTCATGTAATGACACAAACATTAACTTTTATATTTTAATATGTCTATTCACAACGTGTTCATCTTATAACCTATGTTCTATATCCTACCCTAATCACCCGGATGGACAGCATCAGACCCAACCAAGAAAAAAATATTAAGTATGGTTTTAGAAAATGTGGGATCTACCCTTTAGACCGTGATCAAGTCCTAAACCGATTCCTAGTGCCAATACTGCAAATGTTCAAGAAGTAGAAGAACATGTTAGCAATGTAGTGATTAATATGCTAAAATCCATGAGATATTCTGATACTCTTAGACAACGACGAAAGAGAAAGAAGGTCGCCGTAGTAGCTGGTAAAAGTATAACTGAAGCAGACTTTAGAGAAGAAGAAAGTGAACATGAACAGCTTGATTCAGATGCGCATAATGATAGAAATATAAAAGAAAATGAATCGAGTGAAGATGAAGAGGTTCATGTTCATGTCCAAACAACAAATCAATCAAGAGTATTCGCTTCAAAATTACTTAAATTTATTTTTTGTTTATTATTACTCATTTTTCTTCTTCTTCATGTGCCTTGTCCGTTCCGAACGTTGGCAATCAACATGGCTGTTCTGACTTTGTTTACGGCAGATCTGAATAGTTCAGCAAATGACAATCCGCACCATTGCCGCAAGTTTTGGAGCCACGAGTGTCTTCTCCTCTCTGGACCCCTTCTGCTGTCTATTTTCCCTTGAACGATCAGCTGTAGTACTCTATATCTATTATGTCTCATAACGTGACCCAAGTATTCCAACTTTCTTTTCTTTATACCTATTCCTACCTCTCTCTCTTTACTTATCTGGCGTAGTACCTCTTTGTTGGTCACGTGCTTAGTCCAGGATATACGTCGGTAAGCCCACATTTCGAAGGCCTCTACTTTTTTCATCAATGTTGCGGTTATTGTCCACGCCTCCATTCCATATAACAAAACCGGGAATAAATAACATTTCAGAAGTCGAATTTTGAAAGGTAGGGTGAGGCTTTTAGAGGTGAAAATTTGCTTCATGCTAGTGAACAATGCTCTTGCCTTTTCTACTCTTATACGTATTTCCTTCGCTTGATCCCAATTTGAGTTAACTGTTGTTCCCAAGTAGATGTACGAATCCACGTGTTCAATTCTTTCATTGTCTAATATTAGTTGCTGTGGTGGTTGTTGGGTTTTGCTTACTAACATCCATTTGGTTTTTGTGATATTTAGTCTGAGTCCATATTGTGCACTTGTTTTTTGTATCTTACTCATTAGGCAACTCAGTTCCTCCATACTACTTGCTAGAATCACAGTGTCATCAGCATACCTTATGTTATTAATTTTTTCTTCATTTATCTTTATGCCTTCTATGCTTTCCTCCAGCGCTGTCTTAAATACTTCTTCTGAGTATATATTAAAGAGAATTGGAGACAAGATACAGCCCTGTCGTACCCCTTTCTTGATCTCAATTTTATTGGTCAATGTAGATCCTACTTTCACTTTAGCTGTTTGACCCCAATAAAGACTCGCTATTGTTCGAATGTCTCTGTAGTCGACTCCGATCTTATGGAGAACTTCAATTATCTTTTTGTGCTTTACGTTATCGAATGCTTTGGCGTAGTCTATAAAGCATATGTACACGTCTTTGTTTATATCTCTGCAGCGCTGGGTGAGTACCTGCAGACTAAAAAGTGCTTCTCTTGTCCCAAGAGAATTCCGAAACCCAAACTGCGAATCTCCAATGTTATCCTCGCATTTTTTGCTTATTCTGTTGTAAATAACCTTGGTGTATGCCTTCGAAATGTGGTTAATTAGACTTATCATCCGATGTTGATCACTTTGCTTTTGGTTTTTTCGGTATGGCAACAAAAGTTGACTCTAGCCAGACTTCAGGAAACTCCCCGCTGTTATAATATTGTTCAAGAGTCTGACGAGTGAGTCTAGAAATTGACTGTTTGTTTCGCACAGCATTTTCAATACTTCCCCGTATACGTTATCGTTGCCTGGTCTTTTTTTATTTTTAAGACCCTTCATAGCATTCTCCACTTCTGATTTTAGAATAGAAAGGCCAGTATCATCATTGCTCAGTGTATACCCACTAGGACGGTCATCATTAAACAGTTGTTCCACATAAGTTTCCCAGATTTAACTATTTTGTCGGGGTCTAGTTGTAGATTTCCATTATCATCGCACAGCCCTTTCGATAAAATATTGTAGCTTTTCTTTGTTGTGAGTACTCATTTTTCCTTTAGGTATTAAAATTAGTTCGAAGTTGATTCAGATAATTAAATAAAAATACTACAAAACTAACACATCTGTCTAAACATAGGTCAATTTTTTTTAATTCAATTCAATTTAAATATCCTATTTCAATAAAGCAATTATTTTTTAACTAATTTCAGACTTTTAATAACAAATACCACCCGCCTGGCAACGTCCGTGACTTTATTAATGACCCAGCCTTGCAGAGTTATCAGTTTGCTACAGAAAACACATAGTTATCTTTAAATACCTCTAAAACTTTATCGTGTCTTGTAAATAACATATAACAACAATTAATTCTTTTATTATATTTTAATATGTTTTGAACGTCAGTATGATATTTTTAACTTGCTAGACTCTACGAAAGTAGTTCACTGTTATTCGAGAATGTAGCAAACTTGTAGGGTTTTAAGTTTCATTAGATATTAATTAAAGTGAGGTTGTGAGTCTATTGGAAAACAGATAAGAAGAGGATATTTTTATGTGTAATTATGACAACTAGTGCTGTGACTTTTGTTGATAAACGAGTAAGTGTACCTAACTGTTTTATAAATGATCGTATTGTTTGATAAGAGTGACATTTACAACATACATACTCATATCGAGGAAATATAGTTTGTTTCAGCGTTCCTACGAAATTAATAAACATTATTTTTATTGTATTCTGGTTTTTTTGACAGTCTTCGAAGATTTCCAGATCTTCTTTTAGGTGCATTTCTCTCATTTATTCTTAATTCCTTTCTACCAGCTAATTCTATGTCTTTTTTTTCCTTCACTACTTGTTTTGAAATTCTATTTTTGGCCATGATATGACATACGTTTGGATGTTTGATACTACGTTAATGTTTTTACACTTTTAGATTTAATTATATCTGTAAATAATTATATTTGTTCTAAATCGCGTCTAAAAAGTAGAATCATTGTTCTCTAATAGAGGAGGATAACGAAAAGAAGTTGTTGTTACTATAGGTCGAAATATATGTAACATCAAATATGGACAAACTTGGCGCAAATATACAAATTTTTTTTAAATAATATGCATAATGTACGCAAATATGCAGACGTTAGTGATCCTCGTTCATAAATTTTGCATTTAAAAGCCAATTCATATAATAATAATAAAAATAATCTAAAATACTTCCCTGCTAGTATTTAAAAAGACGTATTTTCTATATACAGAGTGGCCCAAAAGTCTGGAAACGGCTAATTATCTCGTAAAATGCTAATCATAATTGTACAAAATTTGAGGTACACCTATTTTGGGACACGGAGATTCCATATTTGATATTTACAATGTTGCCGTTTTTCTTATATTATTAGTAACTTTGGTTTTTCAAATACATCACCCTGTATATTCAGTCATTATTGGAATCTCCTATTCAATACGAGTTCAACCATATGTAACACTTATGATTTTGTGTAATCTAGAAGGTCATAAATACATAAAACCGAAGTCTGGCAACGCCTAAATTGTTTCAATAAATTTTTTAATACTAACTATTTTCAAATACATTAAAACGTAACAATTGATAGTTTAGAATATTTTTTAACATAGTAGTTACGTTATTAAGTGTTCAAAATATGCTCAATTTGTGAGTTGACAGCACCCTAATCGATGGTAGAAGGCGTCTACCACATTTCTCCATGATTGTCTAGAAATTATTCGAGATTCATTGATAATTCGTTGCCTTAGCTCTGCAAGACATGCTGGTTAAGTTTTGTAAACTGAATTTTTCAAGTATTCCTAATAAAAATAATCTTTAGGATTGAAATCGGGTGAACGTGGAGGCCATTCAATTCTACCTTGTCTACCAATTTATCGTCCAGGAAATATCTCATCTAAATATCGCCGAACATTTACACCAACTATCTGACGTTAAATTTCTTTCGACAAAAAATGACCCAATTGAATAAGTAACTACTTTATGTGACCATACATTTAATTTTTGTGGTCTTTGAGTATGATTTCCACGCATTCAGTCTTCAGTGTGAATTTACGTCACACCAGTACCTTAAATTGTGTCGATTTACACTTCCACACAGTGTAAAAGTTGCTTCATAACAAGAAAAACATATTCTGTTAACGAAATTTTAATAATTTTCAATTTTATCCATCATTACCTTAGTAAACTCTAATCTACGACCAGTCATCTTTACTTAATTCTTGCAATAAGTTAATTTTGTATGATTTAAATTTATTTTTACGTAATAAACGTAAGACTGAAGAATGACCTACATCATGTACTTGTGCAACCCTGCCTGGGGATGTATGTGGATCTTCAACAAAACTCTGCTTATATCTGAAGTTTTGTTGTCATTGTTAACTCGTTTCCGTTAACCTGATCGGTATCTATCTTTTACTTCTCCAGATTCCTTAAATCGCCTTACAGTTTTTTTTACCGTCGTCTTATCAATAGGAGAATGGTTTAGAGAACGGCATTTTAGAGAAGCAATTTAAATTGCAGAACTTTTTGAACCACAACTACTGTCAATTTTAGTTCATATTTTAAATGGTGAACAAATGTCAAAATCACAGCATTCTCCATTTAAATATTTAAATTTATTAAAATCTACATATTTTTCACTGTTTTATGTATTTAAGATCTTTCAGACTACATAAAATCAAGTGAACATATGGTTGAACTCGTATTGAATAGCTGAACTCGTGTGAAATTCACACTGAATGCGTGAAAATCATACTCAAAGACCACAAAAATTAAATGTATGGTCAGTTGTAGTAGGTACTTATTTAATTGGGCCATTTTTTATCGAAAGAAATTTAACGTCGGATAGTTGGTGTAAATGTTCGGCGTTATTTAGATGAGATATTTCCCGGACGATAAATTGGTAGACAAGGTAGAATTGAATAGCCTCCACGTTCACCCGATCTTATTTTTATTAGAGATACTTGAAAAATTCAGTTTACAAAACTTAACCAGCAAGTCTTGCATAGCTAAGGCAATGAATTATCGATGAATCTCGAATAATTTCTAGACAATCCTGGAGAAATGTGGTAGACGCATTCTACCATCGATTAGAGTGCTGTCAACTCACAAATGAAGCACATTTTGAACACTTAATAACGTAACTATTATGTTAAAAAAAATATTCTAAACTATCAATTGTTACGTTTTAATGTATTTGAAAATAGTTAGTATTAAAAAATGTATTGGAACAATTTAGGCGTTGCCAGACTTCTGTTTTATGTATTTAAGACCTTCCAGACTACATAAAATCATAAGTGTTACATATGGTTGAACTCGTATTTAATAGGAGATTCCAATAATGACTGAATATACAGGGTGATGCATTTGAAAAACCAAAGTTACTAGTAATATAAGAGAAACTGAAAATCCGGCAACATTGAAAATACCAAATATGGAATCTCCGTGTCCCAAAATAGGCGTATCTCAAATTTTTGTATAATTATGTCTAGTAATTTACGAGATAATTAGCCGTTTCCAGACTTTTGGGCGACTCTGTATAATATATTCTATATATTAAGCCACGAAGAAAGCAGTAAAAGAAATAAAAAGAAATAAAGCTCCTGGAAGCAATGGAATCCTAGCCGAAATGCTGAAGAAAGGCGGAGAAGAAGCCATGACATATCTAAAAATACTATATCTTATAATAAAATGTCTAAATGTCTATTCGAAGGCAACATACCCGAACAATAGAATTCTGTAAAAACAATACTAATACACAAAAAAGGACACACCACAGACCTAAAAAATGATCGATTTCACTTCTTTCACAACTTTACAAAGATCAAACAGGTTCACAATTAAATTTGACGGATATCAACCAGTAGAAGAAGCCGGATTTATAAAAGGGTACAGAACATGTGGCCATGGTCTATCTATGGTGTTAATTTTTGGTTTACCCCCTCTGTGGCTCAGTGGTAAGAGCGCCTGCCTTTAAACCTAAAGGTCGTGAGTTCGAATCCCACCTGGGTGGAAATTTTCGTTTATTAAAAAAAATTAATAAATGAAAATAATTTCTATCCTTGTGTGATCGGTACACACCGGAGGGACCGCAGACGTTCGGATACAATTAGCGTCTCTTAGCAAAGGCAATGACGTCGACTTTGCTAAGTATCAAGACAATTACTCTACACACACACACACACTACACCTCAAATTGTAAGATTGGCGAATGGATTTAGTGTCCGCAGTCATTTAAAACACAAACAAACAAAACAAAATTCTTGGTTTGTTAATATTGGGATTTATATTTTGTTCGTCTTCTGTTAGTGTTGAAACTGCACTTAGAGACTCACTGAAATATTCATGCCATCTTTTGACTTGTTCTTATCGTGATGTTAAGGAAGAGTCAGCTAATGGTGGGCGTCGGATAATTGTGTGCATCAATGTTTCTAATCTCCTATTTAATATTATGTCAAAAACAGTAATCTCCGCCATCTCTTAGCATCTGCAAGATCTATCACACACAAACGAACGTCGCATATAGTGGTATTTTACAAAAAAGTTGACCAACAAAGCATTTCGGACCAATTTTTTCCTCAAAGCAGATAGTGATATGTGACGTTAGCTAGCAATATCCCCTCCCCAAATAACCTAACCATACAAATTTGACAGCTGTCACTTCTTAACACATTTTGGCTGCGTTTAGTTTTGAGATTTTACTACACTTTTTTTGTATGCTTTGCGATTTCTTTATTTTCATAATATGATTCACGTAATTTTTGGATTATAGAGGAATTATGATTTCATGTAATCGAATAAACGATCTTACAATGAAGTCGTCCCAGGAACGCAACTCAGCTATATTGGCAATATCATTTTAAAGTCGTCTACTTTAAAATGCATAATGTATGCCTGAATTGTCAATATAAATGAGTCAGGTAAAATTAAATTAATAGAAGAATTGTTCACCAAGTAGGTAACAAACAAACAAAAGTTGTTTAGTTTATTATTGTTAGTAGTTTGAGAATGATTTACGAAGTTGAAATTGAAACGTCAATAAACTTATTTTAAATTTTAATTGTGGCTTATTCCCAATAAAACAGTAATTACTATAAGATGTCACAAGAAAATAGCTTCAGAACAATATGAAACAAAGAAAGCATTGCTATGCTACAAAAAAAAAACGTCTTAAAAACTAATATTTATTACTTTTGTAGTTATGTTATACAGGACAGAATTGCCAAATGATTCCACAATCATTAATGCATATATACGGCCCAAAAGTTGAAAGTTTGGACTTGAGCTACAACGATTTAGTAAGTATTCGCGGCATAGAAGATTTTCCAAATTTGAAAGAACTGATACTCGACAATAATCAACTAACGGACCTCATTGTTGTGCCATACCTTCCTCAGTTGCATACGCTGTCACTGAACAAAAATAAAGTTAGTATTTTCTTTAGTTATACGAACATTAGATAATTTGAAAATATTTTCAATTTACAAAACTATTTTATTTGTACAAATAACTTCGTCTTGAAATGTAAACCAGGGTAATACACTATACCAATACAATAATCAAATTTATTTCATCCAAGTATTTCTTCCACATATTTTAAATGTAATTTTTGTAATAATAATATCCATACGAATGAGGTCAGCCAAGACTATGTCGACAATATAGCGTCGAATTATTGGTTGGCATCAGGAAAGATGTTCCCTGAAACAGAAGGTTCATTACTTGCCATTCAGGATCAGGTTATACCATGGACGTATAAACATAGATGGACACAGCAATAAGATACCTTTAACACACAATATTTTGAAGCTTCCATAGAATGTGATGCTTCAGCAATGAGCATAAGCGTGCTTGAATTTTTACTCGCGTGTAATTATTCAGATTTTAAAAATTGGAAGTCGTAATAATGTATAAAAACACGTTTTAAAAAGGTACTAAACAGATCTTTTTTAATCAGATGATGTCTACTTATAATTTAAAAATGTCTACTAATTTCATGAACTTTATCTTATTCAATACATTAATGAACATGAATAAACCCAATGGTACGCCTATTAAAATGTAAACAAACACGCTTCCTCATTTCCTCATCTGAAATAATGTAAATTGTATGTACTTACAAATGAAATGAAAGATAAGATGTAAATATTTCGTTTATTTTATTTCACGTTTCACAAATATCACTCAAAATACAGCCAAAATATCGAAAAACAACTTTTACTAAAAAGTAAACAAACATGGAACAGCATTTGAAGTTTGACGTAGATCCATAAGACAGAGAAATGTAAACAACCGTTGCCATTTATAAATAGTTTTCAGTGCTTCTACATATAAAATAATTGATTGATATCTATTATACGCTATTATTAAGTGATAATGCACACTATTTGCACACTTTATATTTTGATTATAATTAAATATATTAATCTAACCAATAAATTATTATTTTGGTTTGATAGCACCTGTAGAATATAAAATACGGAGTAATATTTTCAGCGACTCGCGAATAAGAAATTTTAAAACAAAACGTGACAACAGTTGAAGGTGCTGAGAATGTGACCTATGCAAATAATTTTGACTTCACAATTTTATGTAAATAACTGAGTCCATCTGTGTTTATACGTCCATGGGTTATACCAACCAAAAATTACCTAAAATATATTGTCAAAGACCCTCAGTTCCAAAACGACAAATGCCGATATGGATGTCAAGCCTAAGAAACAATACAACATCTTACCGGAGGCTGCCAGGCATTTGCTGCAACTGAATATAAGGAACGGCATGACTCAGTAGAGAAGATACTCCATCAAGAGATTACTTTTAAACTGGGACTTCTACAAACAAACCACCTCCCGTATTATCAATACGTTCCTGGGAGTATGCTTGAGAATGACAACTACAAGCTATACTGGGATCGCACTGTGCTCACAGACCAAACTGTAGCACATAATAGACCAGATCTCGTGCTAGTTAATAAACTAACGAGACAAACAACTCTAATCGATGTGGCGATACCTAATAACAATAATCTGCGTATTAAGTACAACGAAAAGGTCGCCAAGTACAGAGATCTGGAAATTCAAATCATGCAGAAAGCTGTGCTACTTTCGACGTCCAGATGCGTGCGAAAATTTTTGGAAGATACATCGACGTACCAAGTCACCTAGGACTCGATAACATGGAAAGAGTCCCACCAGAGCTCAATTCTTTTGATACCGTTGGTATCTAGGATGAGTGAATTTTCCCCTTAGAGGGAGTGTGAGCTGTTTGGCTAAATCTGGATAATATCCATATGCCAACTTATTTTTTCTACTACTTTTGACCTAAATTTTACACAAATAACTTAAACATAGACATACCTACTAAAATATATTTGATTAAATAACTTTTCTTATACTACAGATTGAAGATCTTCCATCATTGCTGTCGAAAATATGTACAAATTTACCCAAACTTACCTACTTAAGCCTGCTCGGCAACAAGGCATGTCCCAATGAGTTATCAGGAGACGAAAACGACGAGAATGATTATCAGAGATACAGGTAATAAAACTTTATATTAAACAAAAAGACTGTCTTACTTATGTTAGTATTCATGTAGTGATGGCACCATCACATCTGGTTAGAGATTGGTAATTTGTACTGTGCAAAGTAGAAATACGCTTAATCGTCACATGCATTTTAGGTCCATAGCTTGGCAATTTCTTTTCATTCTCTTTGATTTTCTGTCTTCACTAACTCAATTTTAGGTTCATCTGTACTTTATGTATCCTTCTAGGACATCCTATTCTTCTTTTACTTCCCAACTCTCTGGAACGTACATTCCACAGTAATATCCAAGCTGTCACCAATTTTTTTAATACAAATAACAATAACATACCACTTTAATATAACACATGTAAATTTGGCTAATACAATCCACAATTATTGTACACACGCCTGAAAGAAGGACTGAAAAAAAATATACCTTGAAATTTCTAATATTATATAAATTTCGTATATAGCGATTTATAAAGCTTTGCGATGATTAATTTTTTTCAAAAAATTCTAGGTGCTATGTCCTGTACCACATAAAAAACTTAAAATTCTTGGACTCTAGGAAAGTAAACGACACGGAAAGATGTGAAGCTTTACGTCGTGGGAAATTCATGAACGTTATTAAACCCAGTAGATCGGCATCATTGACAGATATAGAAGTACCACGTAATATAGAAAACAACCATTTTAATCCTCTTCCAAAAAATATTAGGTGTCCTGATGATTTCAAAGGTATGTGGCTTAATTTAATTATGTAATGAGCGATATACTAAAGCTTAATGTTTTTTTTTTTTGAACCTATTCTCTATCCTTCCATTGTTGGATATAGGTCTCCCCCAGTTCTCTCCATCTTTCCCTATCTTGAGCTGTTCTCTGCGATGTGGGACCTCCTTGTTTCCTGATGTCATCTTTCCACCTCATCTGTGGTCTGCCTCTTGATCTCTTTGCATTGTATGGACGCCACTTTCCGATGGCATTGTTCCATCGTCCGTCTTGGAGATGTTCATTGTGTCCAGCCTATTTCCATTTCAGTTTTGCTGCTTGTTCTATCGCGTCAACTGTCTTTGTTCTGGTTCTGATCCACTGGTTACGTTTTCTATCTCTAAGTGATACACCCAACATTTGTCTCTCCATCGCTCTTTGTGCCTTCCTTATCCTATCCAATTTGACCTGTGTAAATGTCCATGTCTGTGCTCCGTAGGTGAGCACCGGTATTATACAGGAGTTATATACCTTGCTTCGTAAGTATAGAGGGATTGTTTGATTTTTTAGAACGTAAGGAAGTTTGCCGAACGCTGCCCATCCCATTCTTACTCGTCTCGATATTTCGGCTGGTTGATTTTCTCTGTTAGCTCTGATTGCTTGTCCTAGATAGATATACTTATTTACCTGTTCTATTTTTTCTGTTTTTATTTTTATTGCCTTTTGGTCTTCCGTGTTTGTCATTACTTTTGTTTTGTTGAAGTTAATTTTTAGGCCTTTTTGCAGTGATTTTTATGAAGTTCATTCAGCATTAATTCCAGTTCTTGTCGTTCCGAGGAGATCAGGAGTATATCATCCGCATATCTAAGGTGGTTTAGGTATTTTCCGTTAATACATATTCCTCTGTTTTCCCAATCTGTTGATTTTATTATGTCTTCGATGGTCAAGGTAAATAGTTTAGGTGAAATTATATCGCTTTGTCGGACTCCTCGTTTAACTTTTATATTATCCATTATTAATTTGTCGTCCAGAATTATAGTCATGGTTGCGTTTTGGTAAATATCATGTATCAATTGTCGGTATCTTGAATCTATTCTACTATTGACCAGAGCTTCTTCAACTGCCCAGTGTTCAATGCTGTCGAAAGCCTTTTCATAATCTACGAATGCTAAGTACAGCGTTAGGTTGTATTCATTGGTTTTCTCAATTAAGATTTTAAGCGCATGTAGATGGTCGATTGTGCTGTATCCTTTCCTGAATCCGGCCTGTTCCACTGGTTGGTGGTTATCAAGTTTATAGGTTAGTCGGTTGTTTATTATTATTGTGAAGGTTTTATATAGTTGTGACAAAAGGGAAATAGGACGGTAGTTGTTTAGGTCTGTTCGGTCTCCTTTCTTATGTATTAAGATTGTTTTGGCATTTCTCCATTGCTTAGGTATTTTACCTTCAAACAGACATTTGTTGAACAGTATTTTTAGCATTTTTTTATCGTGTCTCCTCCTTCTTTTAGCAGTTCCGCCAGTATTTTGTCCTCACCGGCCGCTTTATTTCTTTTCATGTTCTTTTTATGGATTTTTCGACTTCATCTTCAGTTATTTCTGGTAATACCTCTGAGCCAACATTTTGTATTTTCCTCGAGAGATTCTGTTTAGATGATAGTGGTGGGTCATTTTTAGAACTGTATAGGTCTGTGTAATATCTTTCTGTGATTTTTACTATTTCTCCTAGATCTCTTTCTTCATTGATCTCAGTTTTAAGTTAGTTTTCTTTTTCCTATATTTGTCTTCATTGTTTTAAAACTTTTGTTCTTCTCTATGATTTTCTTAATGCGGTCTTCTTGGTATTTCTTTAAATCTTCCTTTATCTTTTTCTTATGGTTTTGTTCAGTTCGGTAAACTCCACTGTATTTCTTTTGTTATCATTCAGTAGTTGTCGTCGTTTTTTGAGCATATCTTGTGATTTAGCGCTAATTTTTTGTTGTTTTCGCTTTTGTTTATTAGCAATCTTCAGGCCTGCTTCTAGTAGTTTTGTTGTTATTTTATCGTTTAATTCGTCTAGTTGCAAACCCTTTAGCTGTGATATGTCACTTTTTTTAGCTGGTTTATGTATTGTTCTTTGCGTTCTTTAAGAAGTTCTGTATCTATCTCTTTTTTAGATGGTTTAAATTTTTGTCTGTCTGTTGTGGAGTTAATTTTGATTTTGGCTCTAACAATTCTGTGACCACTTCCTACGGAAATCATGTTTATGACCGTAACGTCTTGTACTATGTTCTTTTCTAATAAAGCTTAATGTTAGTGACTTTATATTACATATATTTCTATTACTCATTTACCAGGAAACTACAAATGCAAGACTTCAAAACGTGGTACAAAGATTATAATAGATAGAAATAGGACATATACATATTATCCAATTTTTTTTATATTTAATTAACTTTTCTGTTATCTTTTAGGTGTTTATGGAAAATGCCAATATAGGTATAGCGGAAAACATTCAGAAGGCAATCGTTTTATATCCAATAATGACTTATAGTGGACATATTTATATTTTATAATAAATTTTTATACTTTGTCTTATTATTTTCTCATATATTTTTAACCCATTGTACGTTAACGTTTTACTAATCTTTCGCTAACAGATTCCTAAGCCCTATTTCAAGAATATTGTCTATCAAAATTGTTAACGTCTTAACATATAACCAATAATACCTCATTATTTTTGTGACAATTATTAATAAAACACGAAAATATATTCTATTTATTTTCGGTAAATCTTGTTTTTTATCTCGCTCGTTTTTCATTGAGAGCCTGCCAAAACTGGTTGTGTTTTTTTGCATCTAAATACTCTTCGATATTACGTTACCGCCAATTCTCCTCTTCTCGATATAAAAAGTTATCATTTTTACGACCACAACTGGTCATAAATGTTTTTTCTTAGTACCAACCGCTTCGCTAATTTATTAAAAAAAACACAAGTTTTTTGTCTACCTAGAACTTTGTCAATAATATTTATTTATTCTCAGTACTCGTAAAGGAGCAATAAATCTTTTAGTTTTGTTGTTTTATTATTATAAACCGTAAATCTTTGCCGGATGTTCCATTGCAAGTTTTTATAAGAATATTAACGCAACTTGCGCATACGCCTGTCTATGCCTGCAAAAAAATTTGAAGCTTGCACTAAATTATTTGTTGCATTAAGTATAAATATAGTTTTGTTCTGAAGCTATTTTCTTGTGGCATTGTAAATTAATTACTAATAAACTGGGAATAAGCCACAATTAAAGATAAAAATACGTTTATTGACGTTTCAATTTCCACTTCGGAAATCGTTCTCAAAATACAAATAAATATTATTTATTATTATTATTATTTATATTATTCCCAGTTTATTATAAATATAGTTGTTGTTGAAAAATTGTTTGAAAATACATAATTAAAATAGTCGTATTTTATAAGTGCCTTAGAAAAGTAAGTACAAACTTTTATACATACGTAACTTTTACAATCGCTCGGCTTGCATTTTAGACCAGAGCGGAGTCATCTGGCCCAGAAGCTCTGCCAGATTTTGAGTTGTTTATAGCATGTACACATACACACATGAGCTCATCCCAACCCCTATGGGACATGAGTGTACCACTGCTAGTCAGTGGGACCCCATGTCCGAAGATCAGACCGGTCTCGTTCCAAAAGAGTAAGTTATTTTGGCTCGGTACCTATCTGACCCTAGGTTTTTTCTCCACCCCTCCTCTACGTCTGACATACGCAGAGGAGGCTATGAACTGTTACGTCGGGCGATTTGGGAAAAGAAACACCCTCCGTTTTTCATGACTTGTGGTTAGGCCACCTGACTCTAGGGGTAGCTTATCTCCCTCTTTACTGTACTGAATTTATTTATGACTTGACTTAGGGGTCTGAGTCCCTAAAAAATGTGTGTCCGATCAGGGGGTCGGCAGCAAGCTGACGGCCCCTTGTTCGGAAGTTGTGTGCTCGGTCACACAGTCGTCAATTTGGCAAAACAAGTTTTGGTCTCCTTGCCGACTGAATGACCGATAGGTCTGGCCATCTTGGCATCTATGGCAACTTAGTCCTGAAGGGTCTTTTTGACTGACGGTTTTAATGATTAGGATCTATGTCCTGCTAATTGACTTGGCTTTGCTAGCTTTTACAGATTGTTTGTTAGTCGGGGTTTTGGTTGAAATAATAATAGAGGGAGGGGATTTTTAATTGGTTTCAGATTTTAATAATATTGGAACTTCCTCAGTATCAATTTGTGTTGGTTTTGTTCTAGTGTCCGTGAAGAGATCTTCAATATATTGAGTCCATACTTGTTTTTTTTTCAATTGGGTTATTAATAGGTTTATTGTTTTTGTTAATTAATCGGTTAGGTGTTCGTGATTTTTCAGATAATTCTTCCACTTTTTTATGTAAATTATAATGATCTTGCTTTTTCTGCAATTCTTCCACTTAAAAGCATGTTTCCATCATCCACTTTTCCTTAGTCTCTTTTATTTTGTTTTTTATTAATTTATGTTTTTCTCTGTGCTCATTTGGGTTTCTGTTTCTATCTTTTCTTTTTTGTTCCATGATTTCCAGTATTTCTTGAGTCATCCAAGGTTTGCGACTTTCTGTTTTCTTTTGTAGAGTTTCTTCCTGTGTTTTTATAACAGAATTTTTGATTTTGGTCCACATAATATTCACATTCTCAGTGTTTTTTATTTCTGATGTTAATTTCTTCATTTCTTGATTGATACAATTGAAGCCTCAGCACGGATTTTATTTATCTTGAGTAACTAACAGTTTCTATAACATCCGAAAAACTACAATTTCTTTTGTAAGTATAGTACTCTAATATTGTAGGCATTTACTTATAAACTTTTCTTTATATTTATAGTGAGCTGAAGAAGCTTTTAAAAAAAAACGAATCATATTCATTAAACGAATTAGATGACTTTTCTTTTTTTTTTTGCCAACATAATGTATTATGAAAATGAATGAGAAAATGCATTTCATTGTCTAGATATGGAGGGGCATATACATAAACGAACTCTTCTAGTAAAAAATAAATAAAGTATATTACTATATAACAAATAAAATATATATAAAAACAATACAACGATAAATTGTCTACATTCAAGCAGACAATTTCAGTTCCAGGGTTTATTCTATCGTGTAGATTTCCCACAGTAGTGCGCGTGCCATAGAAACCGATTATTCGAAATATGGATCAAACGTTTGGTAGTATTCTTGACTTTTCCTAGATATACCTACAAATAAAACAAAATTTAGCATGTCAAGTAATTAAAACATATAAATATGTTAACAATACTGGACAAGAAATCCAAGAAGAATTGCAAAAGAATTTACATCAATAAATTTAATGGGAAAACTTCTGACCAAAACTTACTTATCATGTTTTTTTACGGCTTGAACCGTTGGTTATACATCCAGTTACGTAGAATATACAAGGTTAATTGATAAGTGTTGAATAAATGACTTCTTACTAAGTAAAGTCAGTTTTGCCGTTTTTAAAAAAAGTTTCTTATTATACTCTTGAGCAATTACCGATTCAATAAACATGAGCATTTGTATCATTTCTTAATAGAAATTCCCATTCTAGCTGGATTCGAACTTACGACCTTTCAGTTTTTGTTGCTGACAACAAGGACACTCTTCAACAACTTCTAAACCAGGTAATTCAGGAAGGAGAATCATCGGACCTTAACATAATTACTACCAAAACAATGATGATCTTTATTAGTAGAGTCCTGATTTCTAAACATAATCATCATCATCCAGCCTTCAGTTATCACGTCCACTGCTGTACATAGACCTGCCTTAAACTCCTTCCTTCTTGACGATTTTGAGTAGATATACAAAGTCTTTACCACTATAGAGATAGGGAAATCAATGTGTTAGAGAGAGACGTACTTTTGTAGAGAGTAAGAGTGAGAAAGATATATGACGTCACGTCGAAGGAATCTATATTACCGACATAGTCATAGTTCAGCTATGCGCTAGTTATTAGTGGATATAGCTATAGTACAATTAATATATTTTCTAGAAAAGAAAAAGCAGGTCACAGTAAATCTAAGGTTCTATTGCATTTTGAAAGCGAAAGTTTAAAGGGTGGTGAATCGTCAAATGGGCTATAGAAAATTCAATGGGAAATTCTAAATATTGTTAAATTTCTGCTTCCCTAATTATTTTACATCAAAAGTCATAAGAAACTATTTGTAGAGGACTGAAATATGTATTAAAAGTGTTAAAATTGTTTACGAATTCCAAAATTTTTAAAAAATGTAATACATTTTTCAGGCCACCTCTTAAATTCAGGCCACTCGAGGTACAAGAATGACATGTTGCGTTTGGTCATATTTATGTTTCTAATAGTTGACAATATTTGAATTGTCTATATTTTTTATTTTATATATTTTTATTATTATACCTCGCATATCTCTATACGTTAAGCCGTTGAGGAACTACATACCTACAACCTTTATTTTCCATGACTGCGGAAAAAGAATTTTAAGTTGCGGAGAGAAGAATTGACAGTTGACAAAAAGAAGAAGAGCGTTCCGTCGCTAGCACAGAAATAACAAGAAAAATTGGAATAAAATTTTTAATTTATTTAATATTGTAATTTAAAAAATAGTGCCAACTAGCTTACATTGGACTAAAAATGGCGAATGTTTAAAATTGGATTAAAAATGACGGCGCCAACTAGCGGATAGCTGAACTATGACAGTCGGTAATGTAGATTACTTCAACAAGACGTCATATATCTTTTTCACTCTTACTCTCTACAGAAGTACTTCTCTCTCTAACACATTGATTTCCCTATCTCTATAGTGGTAAAGACTTTGCATATCTACTACTTTGTGCTCTTTGTTTCCAATTTTTGGTGATACGCCTGATTTCGTCAGCCCAACGTGTAGGTGGTCTTCGTCTACTACGTTTGTCTGCTCTTGGCCCATCGAGCAAAAAGACAAAAAGGGAATGTAAAGGTAGTGGGCGCAAAAATATTGTTAGACAGAAAGTGCGATCTTTAAAGGCCACATTAAACAAGGAAAGAGAGTCTCTCTCCTTGTTTGACATCAAATTTAGTTAGGTTATGGTATTGTTTGTTCTAAATATCACATGAAATCTTATTTATATTGAAGTTTTTTAAGAAGTGTGTCGCATTTTAGACTATTACCGTTAATAATTAATTAAAACTTTCTCGTCTAAGACACATTCTGAAAAATATTATATAGCTACTGTTAATAAGTGTCGGAAAATTTAAAGTTGGCGCATTCGCATTTCCGGATATGTCCGCCATCAGAGGCCACTTTTTTGGTCTCCTTTTCACAAGGATTAGATTGCCTCTTTTGTCTTTTGCTCGATGGCTTATATAACGTTTTATTCTGGATTTTTAATTGTTCTAATATTTTATACTTACGATCCTTTGTTTAGAATTAAAAGCAAATAGTATATTTCTCTATAAATTTGAACAAATTCTTTAAAAACATTTTTGATCTATGGCAAATTTTATAATTTTGCAGAAACCGTTTAAGTATCCACAATTAGATAACAAAATTCATTAAATAAGGGTAGAATGTTGACGACTGAATAACAAAAAGTACCTTGCACAAAAGTCATCCAGTAAAAAGAACCAATTTTTTGTTAGCTTACTTACACCTCGGTTGAAAATGTTATTACCTGTTAAAAAGCTGATGATTATGCTGTTAGGATATTAATAAATTGTCCCTAGAATACTATAGTAATCGTAGGTGAAATTTACGTGTTGTTTGCAAAAAATATAACCTTTCATTCACAAATGTATTACATCCATAAGCAACCTGTACACAAATTTGTACTTTAAGTAAAGCCGCTATTGAAGGGAAAACCATTGAAGAATTAAAAACGATGGCCACAAATGGAAATGCATGTAAAAAATGCGTAAAGAAAGTACTGGAATCCCAATCCGACACCGGAAAGGGCAAAATGATACGAGAAGAAGAAGTAGAAATAAAGTTATCATAATATGATCCGATTTGAACAGGATGGAACTTGTTCTTAAGGATATGCTTAGAAAAATTAGCAACTTTCATTAAGTTCCATTAAAAAAATTTTATTCAATGAATTTTTAAGAAGAATAGAAAAGATTGGTTGATAAAGTTAAAAATTTTGAAACAAACTGTCTTTGAAACATTTACAATCCAGTTTTGCTTGTTGATCCTTTTGCTTATGCAACAGCTTATTCTTAACTTTAACGTGACTGTTGATACTAAAGAATCTCAGAATAGAATATGTCATTATATTGTGTACTACAGATTATGGAATCGCTTTGTAATTTTTTGAGTGGGTGTTCCTGCCCCATCCACCATCCATGTTTTATTGTTTTTATTTTAAAAGTCTTCTTTTTCTTCTTCCTTCTTGTATGTAGGCTTTAAAGCCTATTTATTCTTCTATATTGGCCTACTAAATTGTTTAAATTGTCTTACCATCTTTTTCTTGGTGTGCCAATACTTCTTCGTCCAGTTTTGTTTTCTCCATATTTGTTTTCACGTACCGTAGAAGTTGCTTTCCATCCGTTTTGTAAACCGTTCCTATTGTTCATTTTTTGTTCTTCTCAACTGCTTTGGTTCATTTCGTATTCTTCTATAGTTGTCTCGGGATTCTGGGGTATTTGATGTTTTATACTTTGAGGCTTCTAGTTTTTCTTTATATATCCCTTTTATTTTTTTCTGAACCATGCTGTATTGTTGTTGTTTCTTTTGTTTAGTATGACTTTGCGTTTTTCTAGAGCTTCTGTTGCTACTCTAGGAATTTTTAAAATAATTTTAAAATAATCGGTCCAATATTAAATCCTTGGAAGAGGATTCTTGCTCTCAAAGTCGATTTTGTAAGTAAAGTAGTTTATATGTGCTATCATCGAGGTCGTGCTGACTCTGTGATTTTGTAGATTCAACACCTCTTCATAGCCAGTCTGAAATTTTGTTGAGGAGGAAGGTCTGAAGTTTGTAGGAGCTCTCCAACAGTATATAACTCTTTATGTGTAATTTTGTCGTTTTCTTCGGATGCCTGTAAATTTTTTGATTTTTTTTTCAGAACGTTGTATGATTTTCTCTCTATTTGGGCTGAACAGCTAACGGAGAGAGAGAGAGAGAGAGAGAGAGAGAACACCTACCGCACTCAATTTTTAGTAAGAATCGTTGCTGTAGTAAACGAAATGGTTATTTATACTAAATCAAACCACTAATGGTCCAGATTTTTATTATAGAATGTTTGGAATAAACTGTTTGGAAAATTTTGTTAAAAAGAGATATCAAAGAAAACGCAGAATGAATTACACACGCCGCACATCATAATGTTGTACATAAGCATTCCAGAGAAAAATTTAGAAGTTTTCAGTATATGAAAATCAGAGGGAGCTAAATATGGCAAATAGAGGGGCTGTTCTAACAATTAATTCTTCAAACCATTCAATTTTTAAATGCTAAAGCGTTCTTAGGTGCGATATATTGTCTTGTGTAAATCTTGGAACAATAGTATTCTAGGGACATACAAAGTTAAAAATTTCAATGATATACGTATTCGAAAGTAAAAGAATGTAATAGTAATTATATGGTGGTTATTTTGTTTTCGCGCGACTTCCAACCACCTCATTCTGATTAGTCCAGGCGTTAGTCCAAAGAGCATACAACAAGGTTTATTTACCTTAAAAACTACGTCAGTCTTTTAGGTCCGTTTGGTCCTAATTCATAGGAAATAGATTGGACAAGATCATGGTTTTGATGCTTGTGTTTAGAGGTTTTGTGGGAAGATTGTTTTTTGTAGCTGGGGCTCCGGTTGGAGGATTGTTTGGAGGGGTTCTTGTAAAAAGCCATAGGGGCATAGTTAACTTTGACTGGGAGTAGATCACTGGGTGTTGGTAGAAAGTACTTTACTATAGGCGTTTCTAAATAAGGAGAAGGTTTTAATTTAAGGGAGCTTGGATTACTGTCTTCGGGAAATCGAGTGTATTTAGAGTCAGAAGCTGCTTGCATTTCATCATTTTCGGATTCGTCTGAACTAAAATCTGTCGCAATTTGTTGATTTTTGGAAGGTGGTGAGAGATATGGACTAGTTGAAATGATATCTTTGGCTTCGTCTAGGGTTACATCAAACGAATTTGCTACAGACTGAAAAGAAGCCGGACCAGATTGTCCTCGGGGATCAACATTAAAGTCATTGTGTTCAGAATCTATAAGATAAGGATTATTCTGATGTGAAACTGGTATTTTATGATGGGAAGTTATGTCGAAATTTTCATTCAAATCTTCAGGAGGGTCTTCGAAAATAGAGTCATCTTTAACCGGAGCCACATAGGTAGGTTTTTTATGTACGACTTTTGGAACGTTAGAGGCAACAACTTGTTGATTAACCACACCAGAAGCTGCATGTATAACCTCATTCTCTTTATCATTTGGTATCACATACGCCTGATAACTATCGTGAGACTCGTGTTCTACAGGTCGGTTTCCGAACAAGTCAGGTTTGTGGGGATCGAGTGATGAGGATGCTGACAATAGTTTACCAATTATAGTACCGAAACTAGGAGATGTTTGGTGGGGGCTGACGTCTGACGGTGATGCGTAGTGATCCGGTTGATGATGATTGTGACTGCCACGGTTTGTCACTTTCTTTAGGAGCAATAACCCAGCTGCATCTGAAATATAAAAAGATATACTAAATCTATGGATGTGTAAATATGTACAAAAATAGATAAGATATTGTTGTATTTGTTTAAAAAACTTTTCTAAATATTTTTTATACAGCAGCATAATAATTCGTTCTAGGATTTAACACTTTTGTTTTCACATATACCATAGTACCACAATTGTAGCGAGTCACTCGATATAATTTTGGTACTTTACCATAGACGGTATTCTTTCTTTAAATGAATGCTTTGTTATATCCAAATTTATCCATTGTACACTTCATTCTATAATACTTTCCAACTACTATAAACTATATCAGAAGAATTACTTAAGAAGTAATTTTTTTTTGAACAAGAAATTATTTTTCTGTAATCGAAAGCTTATGAAATCCTAACATTTATAAGTAATTTCCTAAAATCACATAGTCTGTCTGCTATAAGTATTTTTTGAAGTAATTTAAACTTTGTTCAAAGTTCTAATCTACAATAATTGATTTATGAATCCAACTCGTTTCAGAATAAACAATTTGCCATCAACGTTAGATTTGGTTTTTACAATTGATGACCAATTGCTTACAGAACTGGTGATATACACTCCTGTGGGCAATTCTGATCATGTAGTTATCACAACAAGCATACAGTTTATTACTGAATATAATCATCTTGGTGAAAATACAGTTATACATGAAATTACAAATTTTGAAAACCTCTCTCTCCAATTGCGTGATGTTAATTAGCCGTTACTACTGGGAAGCCTAGAACATCCAGAAGAAGTTTAGAATAATTTTATAAGCATCATTGACAATTACAAAAGACGCAATACCACAAGAAAAACTTACTATAGGAACAAACTTAAGCCGTGGATTAACGGTGAATTGATATCACTTTTAAGACACAAAAGAAATTATGTCGAAAATTTAAACGTATTGGTGATACACTTGATTTACAAACTCACTAAAACTACAAAGTAATATTAAAAAAGTATATAAATGAAGCCAGAATGGCATATGAAGAATCTATTGTAAGTTGCAACGACTCTAAAAAACTGTATAAATATGTTAGGTCTGCTATGTCTTCTAAAGTATCCATTCAATTGTTAAAAAAAGAACGATGAAACGATTTGTCAGAATACGTACAGTTTGTCCCAAACCCTTTTTTCAGTGCGTCACTAATTTTGACGTCATATAGGATTTTAAGAATGTCGAGAATTATTGCATGACATTTTAGTTAAATCTGGCAGTTGCAGGATCGTAATCGGCTAAACGTGAAAAGGTTATTTTTTTTAATGCATAGCAGTTTGTCATAATTCTATTCTATTCTGTTCTATTTTATACATTCCATGGAAAGTGCTTAATTAGCTAAGATTTGTTTATGGATTTATTATTATTTATTACAAACACTAGGGAATTGGAAGGTTTGTTTATTTAAAATAACGCTTCCTCCTAGAATCTTTTAAGAGTTGACTGCAAGGTAAAAAAAATTACTGACAATTGCAAGGCATCAAAGTAAACATTCCTGCGATAAAATAATATCGATTTAAATCAGTCATATTTGGATAAGGAATTTTCTGATAAGTTTGTGTGGCAGCCAATAGTTTAATTTTGTGAAGAGTTGTCATTAAATAGTGGAAATAGTTTAAATAGTGAAGCAGTTGATTTTTGAGTTATTCTACCAGATTTGGTGTGCAAATGATAGAAGGTTATAAAGTTTAGTTAAAAAAACAATATAAATAGTTTAAATAGTGAAGCAGTTGATTCTTGAGTTAATCTACCAGTTCCGATATCCAGATGAAATCGTGTTAATGGAGTTTAGTTAAAAAACAAGATACAGAATGTAAGTTTACCTTCTTTTTTATGAATAACAAAAATGAATATTATATTTCAAACAATCTATAATCACATTCAGAATCTGATTCTTGAAAATCAATGATTACACTAGATATGTGGCTGGTATCAATTATATCCTACATTTCAAGAAAATGTCGTGGTTCTAAAAAGAACCGTTTTAATACATATAAATATCCATAAAGGTATTAGTTTAAGATATTTCCTCAATATCATTCCGGAATTCACAATCTGATTCGCGAGCGACAGAAACTGAAATAAAGATAACTCAGCCTCATTTTCTAATTGAAACTAATTTAATAATTTTAATATTAGTCTTTTTTCATTCTCGGTATATCTCGGAATATTTAAAATATTTTTATGACAATAAATACAGAATTTAATTTTCACTGTAGTTAAAATGTCTGAAAATACTAACCTGGAATGGCAATTATCATTTTATCAGTTGTTGTGAAAGTACTGTCACTGTCATTATCAAGATCATCTGTGTCAAATTATATTTATATGCATAATTGATTGGATATCTATTTAGCATATTCTAAACTCCAACCAATTATACGTTCGTAAGTAGAATTCGCTTTAATATGCGAATACCCGTAAACGATACCTAATTTTCTAATTTCTATGTATAATAATAAGCGACTCACGTTTTTTTCTGTCACTTCTAGCTTAATGCGTTAGAGAGAATTCGAACAACTATGACGCACTGAAAAAAGGGTTTGGGACGGACCGTATGAGGTCGCTAATATTATTGCAGATACATTTTCTAAAGTTTTTGCTATCGAACCATCTCAAAATCAGTTTCCTATAATCAGTCATTCAAGGGTTATTCTCAAAATTGATTACATCGATTTTTTACCTTAAATCATTAAGCGCCATATTGACAAATTAAAAAACAAACTCATCCCCAGGGCCCGATAAAATTTCTACATTATTTTTGAAAAAAAAATAATAAAATTTTCTATTCCACTATCACTAATAATGCGTTTATTTTTTAATGTACACTCTTTGCCTCGAATTTGGAAGAGTGCCTCAGTGACACCTATATTTAAAAAATGAAATAAGTTAGATTTCAATAATTATAGACCAATAAACCTTACACCTGTTATTTGTAAAGTTATGGAGTCTCTTTCAGAATTTTTGCTCCGAGAAAAAATTAGTACTCTACAACATGGATTTGTGAAAAGTCGATCATCCATGACTAATTTACTGTGGTGTGTTAATGAATGTTAATGATTGGACAGCAGCATTGGATAAAAAACGACCTGTAGATATGATATATTTAGACTTTGCAAAAGCATTTGATCGGGTACCAAGAAGAAATTAAATTTATAAACTAGAACACTTTGGCATTCGCGGACAACTTCTTGAGTGGATTAATGATTTTTTAACAAACCGGGAGTTTTATGTTAGAGTTGGCAAATCGCTGTCATCTAAAAAACTAGTTTTAAGTGATGTACCACAAGGATCTGTTTTGGGTCCACTACTATTTATGTTGTATGCTAGTGATCTTGATTCTCATATCATATCTAGAAAAGCTCTACGTAGATGATACAAAAATATTTACTGACCCACTTTTAAGTGGACAAGACTCACAAAGTGACTTAGATTCGATCTTCAAGTGGTGTTAGGATTGGATGTCACCAAAATAACCCGCGTTTGTCTTATTCGATAGACGGGCATTTACTGGATACTGTGAGATCATATTGTGACCTTGGTGTTACAATTACTGAAAATTTGAGTTGGTCGGAGCATATTTCAAATATCACTAAAAAAACGAATAGTAAATTATACCTACCTAAGACTTCTACAAAAATATCCATTTCGGGTTCTATTCCTTTGTATAAATCTTATGTCCGGCTCCTACTAGAGTACTGTGGAAAAGTTTGGTGCCCAGAATTAGTGCGCGATAGAACTCTTCTCGAAAATGTCCAAAAGAAAGCCACCAGACTATCTTTCAAACGAACAAAGCAGATTACACACAAAGACTTTCTAGACTGTTACATGTTTGTAAACTGAACAATACTGTATACAATTTACTAGTTCATAGTTTATTTGCATAACTAATTATTTTGTAATGTACTATTTCATTTTCCTTGTAAATGGACTTATGGGTCTTCATGACCCCAGCCCTTGATGTAATAATATTAATAATAATAATAATTTTTTTCTATCAAATTTTAATACCTTTTTTGCTATTTTTTTTTTATTAAAATTAATATTAAAGGAAGTACTTATATAATAGAAGATAATATATTAAATCAATCAAACCTGCTCGATGAGGTGGTGGATAGTGTTCTGGAACGTGATAGTCTTCGTGGTGATCTGAGTGATGGCCGTGATGGTACAAATCCTCTGAAGCACTTGGTGCTGTGTAATGGTGATCTGATTCGTATTCTGGAAATAAATATAATTATTTAATTAAACAAGTAGATGGAAGATATAAGAAAAATGATAGACGATTAAACAAATTAAAGACTCCTGGAAAGGTGTTGAGTTCTTCTTCTTCTTCGTCTAGCCATTCACGTCCACATCTGAACATAAGCCTCTTCAAGTCTTCCTTTTCATTGTTTTTTATTGTACGCTACTTGTAGCCAATTTTTCCCGGCAGTCCTTTTCAGATCATCTGTCCATCTCATAGGAGTCCTTTTGTGTTGGTATGGTCTCCAGGTTAAAATTGATCTGTGCCATTTGTTTAGATCGCTCCAACTACATATCCAGCGTATTCCCATTTCAACTTTAATGATTTTTGCACCACATCGGTGACTTTGGTTTTCTGTCTTATCCATGTGTTCGGTTTCTTGTCTTTAAGTGATATACCTAGCATTGCTCTTTCCATCGCGTGTTGAGTGACTCTAAGTATATTCATATTCTTTTTTGTGATTCTCCATGTTTGTGCCGCATAAGTTAATATCGGAATAATGCATGCATCAAAAACTTTAGATCTAAGATGTAATTGAATTTGTTGATTTCTGAGTATATAGTTCAGTTTACCGAATGCTGCCCAAGCTAACTTTCTTCTTCTTTTTATTTCTTCAGTTTGAATTTCCCTATTTAGGATTATTTTTTGTCCTAAGTATATATATTTTTCAACTTTTTCTATAACTTTATCGTATATTATTGTCACGGTGTCTTCGGAGTGCATGACTTTTGTTCATTTTCAGTCCTATTTTAGAAGATTCGGTATGTAGTTCTAAAAGCATGGTTTGCATTTTTTGTAGGTCAGTAGCTATCAGGATTATGTCATCTGCAAATCGTAGATTACTGAGGTAGCGGCCATTGATGTTTATTCCCTTATATTTCCAATTTAGGTTTTTAAAAACGTCCTCCAAAACTAAGGTGAACAGTTTGGGTGATAAAGTATCTCCCTGTTTGACTCCCTTGTTTAATTGTAGAGGGTTCGTGTGTTTATTTTCATTTAGGTAGTACGTAGCTGTAGCTTGGTTCATAGTTTCTTTTATTAAGTTAATATATCTGCTGTCTATTCTACAATTTTGCATTGCGTTTATTACGGCCGTGTGTTCTATGGTATCGAGAGCTTTTTCGTAGTCTACAAATGCTAGGAAAACTGGAGACTTGTATTCGTTACATGTTTTCTATTAATATTTTTGTGGTTAACAGATGATCGGAAGTTGAGTAGCCTTTTCTAAAACCTGCCTGTTCATATGGTTGGTATTCTTCTAATTTCCTTGTTAGTCGAGTAGTTATGACTTTGGTGAGTATTTTAAACACGTGTGACAGTAGGCTGATGGGTGTGCAGTTTTCCAATTTTAGACTATCACCTTTCTTGTGTAATAAGATTACTTTAAAGTTGTTCTTAGGAACTTTGCCCTGATGTAAACAACTGTCCACAAGTTTAGTTACAATTGCAATTAGTTCCTTACCTTCTTCTATCATATCTGTGGTAATACTATCTTCTTCTGCAGCTTTATTTCTCTTCATGTTTCAGAATGCTTTAGTTACCTTTGAAATTGTTACTTTTGGCATTATTTCTGATCCAACATTTTTTATTAATTTTCGTGCTGGTCTCATCTCATCATCTTGTTGATGTGATCTGCAAAGTTCTGTGTAAAATTCTTCTATTCGTGTCAGTATGTTTTCTCTACTTGTGATTTCATTTTCGTCTTTTCCCATTAATGATATCATCTGACGTCGTCCTAGTGTCGGTCTGAGGCATTTCATACTCTTATTTTTTTCAATAGTTGTTGTTATTAATTTTTCGTTTTCTTTTCTTTTTTGTTGTCTGATTCCTTTTCTAATCTGCCTATTAAGTTCTCTATATTCGTCGGTTCCCCTTTTGTTAGACTTATTTAAGATCTTCCTTCTTTCTATTTGTTGTAATATTTCTTTGTCTAATTCATTGTATGTTGTTTTTGGTTTTTTCAGTTGCAGAAGGCTTTTATTCACTGTTTCGGTAATAAGGTTATTCAAATCGTCAATATAATTGAAGTTTATCTGCTGCATGCTAACTTGATTTAATGCATGCACTATCTTTTTATTAAATTCACTATTTTTGTTTTCTTCAGATGTCCATTTGTATCTTTTTTCATGTATTATTTTTCTTTCTAGTTTTTTGTTAATTATTAGTTTTGTTCTTATTAGTCTATGATCGCTTCCTAGATCAAACTGATTTAATACTGATACGTCTTCTACTGGGTTTTTATTCTTCGTTAAGATATAAGCTATTTCATTCTTTGTCTTTTTATCGGGACTCATCCATGTCCATTTTCTGCTTGGATTTTTATTGAAAAAGGAGTTCATTGAGTACATGTTATGTTCATTCATGAAATTGAGAAGCATTTCTCCTCTATCGTTTCTTTTCCCGTAGCCATAGTTACCAATTAAATGTTCATAATCTTCCTCTTTTTGGTCCAATTTAGCATTAAAATCTTCTAATAGTATTTCGTAATTTGCTTTATTTGTTTCTATAGCTGTCATTATTTCTTCATAAAATATTTCTACTTCTTCATTATCATGGTTTTTGGTCGGAGCGTACACTTGGAACACTTTCAGAGTGGTTCTTTTATTAATCCTGATGATGAGATATGCTACTCTCTCTGATATGGGCTTGAATTCTTCGATACACTGTGTGAGGCTTTGTTTTACCAAGAATCCCACTCCAGTGTATTCGCCACCTTTATGCATAAAATGTGTGCCATTTTTTAGTATTATATACCCATAAGGATATCCCATTTTATATCCTTTAGTTCACTTTTTATTTCTGGGAATCTATTGTCGTCCGTCAGTGTTCGAATATTGTAGGAGCATAGCCAAATTGTCTTCTTGTGGCAGCCGGGTCTTACCCAGGGATTCTTAGCACCCACCCCTTCCGTTAGTTGTTTGATCAAGACTCTGGGAAGTGCTGGGCACTGGGGGCCTTTTCTTTTTTGTCCTGTACATTGACTTAAAGGTTTGGACCGTTATCTCCTCACGCTGGTCCAGTGCGGGTTGAGGAGGGAAGGGAAGGATTTGGGTAGGTCTGGGTTGGTGGGTAGGATTTAGGGATTAGGATCCGCTTCTCTTCCGGAAGAGGATTGGGAGAAAAAGCCGAGCTCGCGTGGGCAGGGGCGCATCCCTGAAGCAGACCTGTCTTTACCGGGATCGTAAAGAGTATCTACCCGCTACCGGTGTTGAGTTAGAAAAAAATTATTTAATCTGTTTACTTATTGGATGCGTTTTGTTATATTCCAATATATGTCATTATCCTTCTTATTGCCACTATGCTAAATCTAAGATGTCTAAGTGTAAGGTATAAAAATCTTGTGTCACAGTGTTTGTCCGCGAGAATATCCGAAACCACTGAACCGATTCCAATAATACTGTGTGAAAGTGTATATTTTGGTCTTAGGAGATAGGATATTTTTTATCTTGATAAATGACCCTAATTGTAACTTCAACGTGTTTTATATGACTCCACCACTAGGCTTCTATAGTTTTAGTTAATTATTGTTTGTATTTTAAAAACGATTTCCGTGGAAAATGAAACGTCAATAAACTTACTTTAACCTTTAATTTTGGCTTATTCCTATTAAAATAATAATTACTTTAGAATGGTATCATACGCAAAAGCATAAACCATAACCCAAAGTGATTTTTTCTAGTTCCTACAGAAACGTTGATCCACAATAATTATTTGTATTGCATAATGATCATATAGGCGTTGAATATGTCCTAACCATCTTAAACTATAACTTTTTATTTTAAAATCAATTGGTACTACATTAACTAAATTGTTACATAGATCTGACGCAATACAAGTATTTAAATAACTTTCTATCAAATACACTAGCTTCCCAATAATATTTATTTAATGTAGCTAGTATCATTGTATGATAATGAGGGTCCATGTTAACTGTTTTGGTATTAGAGAACAATGAAACGTTAGAGAATAAAGTAAAAGTAACGTATTTTGTCGATTTCTTTAGACTTTTGTAATCGAGGATGACACTTTACAACAACTTAATGGAATTTAGGTGCCAATATTTATAGTTTTTCTCAAAGGTATTTTTGATAATTTTTACAATCTTTAAAAGCTTTTGTCAGTCACATTCTTATACAAATACTAAAGATAATGGCTCATATTTTCTTTGAGAAATCGACTAAAGGTGCCTGCTAAACGTTTACTTGTAGTACACTGATTCTTTTGACATTTTTGGCATATTCATTTATTAGACTCATAAAAACTGGGAGTCTTTATCAACTGATAAGTTAGTTAATCTCTCTGTACTTGTGCTCCAATACAGCATAAAGCTGGTGAAAATACACTGGAATATACATTTTAAAATACTTTACTTACATTTCTAATAAAAAATGATATAACTTTATAAAAAACCTAGTAATTTATTTTCTTTCATATAAAAACCTAGTTCCTTACCTACATGTGGATGCCCTTTTCCCGATGACCCCATCCATGGCACTAATATAGCACTAGTTGCTATTTGCTTTCCAAGATTGGTGATAGAGTCTCCCTGTGAACTTACTAGATGACCAGAAGCTGACACCAACTTGCCTCCGCCTTTTATTAGTTGTCCTTTGACAGCTATGACACCACCTTTGATGGCTTTGACGGCCTGAAGCAGTGTGTTGAGGACTGATTTCTTGAGATCCCAGAAATCGAATGAGCTATGGGAGCTGTGACCCTGAAACAATGAAGATAATGGTATAAACTAATATTAATATTTATTTCTAAATTTTATATACAATCTCTGGGGGTTATGAGCGCGAGGACTGGGTGGATTGAGTAGTTTAGAAGCCGCGTTCATGCCCACAGAAGTCACAAGCTCAGATAAAAGAGGAGGGTTAATAAACCAGGTTAGCATCCTACCCATTGCAAAAGAAAACAAGGCTTAAAGAGCCGATATAAAGCCTCAAAACCAGACGGAACCTAATATGACGAACCACACAAAGAAAAGGAAAACGAAAAGGAAAAATAAGCCCACAATAAGATTAGCAACATGGAACATTACTTTTTTCATCAACAAAGACCAAGAGATAATGGAAGAACTGATAAATAAAAATATAGACATTTTTGTAATCCAAGAAACCAAGAAGAAAGGTAAAGGCCAAAGAGACTATAACCAATATTTTCTAGCATAAAGTGTAGTGAAGAAAAAAGAACGAGCACGAGCAAATGTAGGTATACTTGTCCATAAAAAATTTAAAGACAACATAAATGACTGCACCAACATTCCCATCGATGAAACCATTTCCATCTTGGACTCTAAACATCATATTCCCAAAGACACACTATATCTTATAAAACACTGCATGTCTAATACATACTTTTCATTCCAAAATCATTTCTATCGTCAAATCAAAGTTGCCCCAATGGGATCTCCCCTCTCTCCCGTAATAGCTGATATTTTCATGGAACATTTCGAAACAGCAGCCCTGTCCTCATCCAATTTCAAACCCACCTGCTGGTTACGGTATGTTGATGACACTTTTGTCATTTGGCCTCAAAGAGATCTTGCCGAAACGTCGTCAAAATGGTTTTTATCAAAACCAACAACATTTAACGCGGAGTCAAACCCGGAATACCATAGATATAATATATATATATATATATATATATATATATATATATATATATATATATATATTACACTAAAAGTATATATTATATATTACATAAAAATGTAATGTATAACAGTTCGTATGAAAATACAGTGGAAGAAAAAGTATTTCTTACCTCATATTGTGGCGGTGGATGTGGATGATGTTCGTAATACTCATGCGGGTGAGAATGATCGCCTCCGCTGCTACTAGATTTGCTGAACGCTCCAGAAGCAGATGCTGATGCCATTGCTAATTGTCCTACTTTTTTCTTGATACCATTACCAATAGCGTTTTTTATAGCGTTTAAAATATCTCCTGATCCTGACCCGGATGATCCCGATGAGTATCCGGATCTAGAAAATTAAAAATAATTTTAAAATACTCCCTCATATATGTCTCTTACAATCTCTACATATTTACCGGGGGCTCTTCTCTGTGTCCACCACAGAATCTCCCGAGTAACTCTATAATAGACTTTATAAAAATGGATGAATACCATATCAACGTTTGTTTCTTTATTCCACCATTTTTCCATCAACTGCCTTATAATAAAATTACATATAATACAATAAATTACTCTCACATGTTTTCATGGTGTGACTAAGTAGTTTTATGGCCTTGTAGTTTGTCCATTCTTATACATCACCATTGTTTTTGTAGACAGGTACTAGTACAATGCTTCTCCATTCATCTGGCATTTGTCCAACTGCCATAATTCTATTAAATATACCTGTTAATAAATGTGGCCGGTCAGATAGCTCAGCGAGCTGTGCGGCTGCCTCTCATTCGCTTCACTGTCGAATGGTTTAGTGGATGTGGGATCGAGCCCAAGCTCGGTGTACAGAAAACAAAAAGTCTAACGCAGCAGTTTAAAATTCTAGATGAATCTGCGGCTTAGACTAAGATATGCTGGGATCTGATCGGCCTATGGTGGAGCAGTACGGCAAGAGATAAGGGCTTGCGGCTTGGTGATACTCCTCCATAGATCCCTACCGGACAGGCGTAACGCCTAAAAAACCGGATATATATATATATATATATATAATATATATATATATATATATATATATATATATATATATATATATATAATAAATGTGTCCCTGTTCCTCCAAATGCTTTTCACACCTTCCCAGGAATATCATCTGGTCCAACTGCTTTTACTTCCTTTATTTTTTGAATTGCTTGAGCCATTTCTTCGTTTGTTATTTAGGTCACCATTGCTGTTATTATCTCCGTTAACTCAACTGATTGTATGTCAAATTCTTTATTTAATAACCTGCCAAAGTACTTTTTCTACCTCTTTTTGACATCATTTTCGTGAATTAGTATTTTACTATTTTCATCTAGGATACATCTAATCTGATTACAATCTTTTGCTTTCTGTGCTCTATGTTTGGCTATTGTATAGTTATCACATAACTATTTCTGCAAAAATCTGAATGGCACCTATTACATCCATCCCAAAATACTTAGATCCGTCTTGATCTATTTGTGTGGGTTTTAAATCAGCTTCAATTTGGTTCGTAGTGCAACTACTATGGGGTTATGGTCTGAAATATATCCCATAGTGTGTCAATATAACAGAAAATAAATTCTCGTAAATCTATTTGACATGTCTTACCTTTTTGCTCTATCTAGTTTCTGTTCCAGAAGGGCAATCTGTCTTCTTTCATCGGCCGTTATATCCTTCAAACTGATCAAGTGCAAAGGGGCGTATATCGATGAGCGTACGGCATTGATGATTCCTAGCAAGCAGCTTACATGAATTATAAGCAGGAACCATAGTTGGACCTAAAAAGAGTACTTTTTACATAAAATTACCCAAAAATTCTTTCATAATATTTGCTGTCTTTTTCATTTTATTTCGGATATACTCTGTGTGAGTATAAGAAGCACAATTCGCTAAGGATTTCTGCTTAGTTGTAAAAGACATGTCGTGGAATGCAAATTTTAGATTCCCCATGTCCCTTCTAACATCTTTTATCAACGTCTGTTTGCCTTGCAATTTTTAGAAGGCTCAGATTATAAGCAGAAATCTGAATTGTGTTTCGACACTATTTTACGGATTTTATAATTAGATGTCGCTATCGCGTCCGTATTGAAGCCATTTTATTGTTGCTTCTTAAAAGACAGAAAATATTGATTTTTCACGTTGAGAACACCTATGAATAACTGTTCTGATGAGACCTATTAGGTCGAAATACGTATCAACAGATAGATAGGAGTTGTTTGCGTGAAATCAAATATTTGCTGTCTTTTTCATTTTCTTTCATAATAGTTACTATTTTAATGGAAATAAGCCATAATTGAAGTTTTAAAATATTTTTTTTGACGTTTTAATTTCCACTTGTGGCTTATTTCCATTAAGAATAGTTAAGCGAAACAAAGTTGATTTTTCAATTACCCATGTTTTCCGCTTCAAAAATACACTGGAAATCAAAAATTAATGTCTACGAAACTATTATCAGAAAACAAGAAAAGAAAGCTGAAAGTCTTTGAAAGAAAAGTCCTAAGGAAGATATTTGGACCTACTAACAGAAATAACGTATAGAGATCCACGTACAAGTACAAATATGAATTCTACAAACTGTTCAAAACGCACCGATCTCAAAATTCGTTAAACTTCAGAAATTTTGATAGACCGGTCATGTAGTGAGGATGGAGGCCAAAAGATTGCCGAAAAGAGCCTTATATAGTAAAATACAGAGCGCAAGACCAAAGGTCACAGGCCACAGGCCACAGAAAAGGTGTGAGAATAAACTGGCAACGGACTCGCAAAATTTGCTATTCGTGAGAAACTGGAGATGATCGACATGGGACTGGTAAGGTTGAAGGCATAATTTGGAGGAGTTCAAGGCTCAATTTGGGCTATAGTGCCATTAAAGAGAGAGAGTTGCCATAAGGAAGTCATTTTTGTTTTCTTTCCTAATTTATTTTGTCACCTATATAATAAGTTGGGATCTTCTGTCACTTAGCATCAGGTCGATTAATTGAGCAGTTATTTTTCAAGGTAGTTTTGGGGTGTAAAGTAGCTCACGTCCATGGTAGAATATCACATGTGCACCCTGAGTAATACTAAATGAGTCAGTTGAAATATCTTTAACCAGGCTAAATTTTCTTAGAAATGGAAACTACATTAAAGACCACTGAAATAAAGGGTTCTTCTAAAAGGCAACTGATCAGAAGCATTGGAAACATTACTAAGGTTTGTCAACTAAATAAAGAATTTATTTCGAAACAGAAAAGTAAATACGTAAATGAAATGCTCATTTTCAATAAAGTTAATGTAGTTTTGATCTAGAAAACTCATGCGACTAATGTAGAAGAGGTCATAATTGATTTAAATTCACTTTTAAAAATTTGACGCAAAGAATCAAAATCAAATCAATGTAATTAACATAGATTGCTTAGTTTAATGCATAAATCATGTGTGGTTTAATGAGCAACGTGATAAAGCTGTTTCTACAAGTTATTTATTGTAGAATTGGTTGTCAATGTTTTAAGCGGTTATTTTATTGGTTAATGGAAAAGAAAAGAATCGCATAACCTCTAGAGAATTTAATAGTACAATCGACTCACGTTAATTCAAACCTGCGATAATTCGAACCTCTCTATAATTCAAAGTTGTCACGAGCTACCTACAAAATCTCTTTATATTTCGAACTAAATCAATACAATTGCTACATAACAAAACGACGCGTTAATTTGAACTCATCGGCGTCCAACACTCGACAATTCAAAGTTGCAGAGAGAAAGAGGCGGAAAGATTCTAGTAAGTACAGTTCAAACGTGTAACGTATGGTACTAAAGTTTTGGGAAAAATTTCACCTGGTCTGATTGAGAAGCAAAATGCGATTAACAAAGAGGGTCATGGAATTGAAATGTCATCAGTTATTGACATTTAATAAACAAAGCAGAATATTTTGGTTTGTGTTCAGCAAAATGTCTTATAAAATTGACATTGGTCAGGTGTTTATAATATGGTTGGGCGAACGTCGAAACGAGATATTGTTAATATTTCTTTTTCTTAACGTGCTCTATCAGGTCCCCTTGACGTTGGCGATTAACATGGCGAAACTGTCTCTGTCTCGAGCTATTCTAAAGAGTTGCTCAGCTTTCCTTATTCCTGTCCACTCCCTGATATTTTTCAACCAAGAGGCCTGCTTTCTACAAATACCTCTGCGTCTTTCGATTTTACCCATCATAATAAGTTGAAGAATATTATATCGGTCTCCTCTTACTACGTGTCCCAAAATATCTTTTTTCTATTTTTCTATTTTTCCAAAATATCTTGTCCAAAATGTCTCATCTTTCTGCATTTGATGTTATCAAGCAGCTCGCGAGCAGCATTTGCTCTATCAAGGACTGCCATATTTATCAGCATAGCCATCCATGGAATTTTTAGTATACGTCTGTGCAGCCACATTTCAAAGGCCTCCAGACGATTAATGGTGGATATTTTTAATGTCCATGCTTCGACACCGTATAAAAGGACTGATCAAATGTAGCATTTAACCATGCGCTTTCGAAGTTGAAGTTGCAAGTTATCATTACAGAAGAATGACCTCATTTTTAAAAATGTCATGCGGGCTATCTCGATTCTACATTTTATCTCTTGATCTGGATCTAGTTGTTCAGTAATATGACAACCAAGATAATTAAAACTGGACACTCTTTGAATTATATGACCATCAACATATAATCGTGCATCTTGATGTGCTAAACGGCTAAACACCATGTGTTTTGTTTTTGAACAGTTTATGTTTAGGCCAAACTCTCTTCCCACTGTATCAATGCCATTTAAAAAGCATTATAGTCCATTCATGTCATCACTTAAAATAACTGTATCGTCTGCATATCTGATTGTATTTATCAGAATTCCATTAACTTTCACGCCCCATTCCAAATTATGCAGCGCTTCTTTAAATATTCTATCTGAATATAAATTCAATAACAGTGGGGATAGTATACAACCCTATCTGACACCTCTTTGTATTTTACATATTTTTGTTGATTTTCCGTTTATGCAAGCTGTCGCTGTTTGACGCCAGTATAACTTTTCTATGAATCGTATGTCTCGACTATCAACTCCTTTATATTTTAATATTGTAATTAATTTATGATGCTGTACTCGATCAAAGGCCTTTTCATAGTCAATAAATACAGCAAAGACGTCTTTTCCTTTGATCTTGACATTTCTGTAGTAATACATTTAGTGCAAAGAGGGGCGTCCCGAGTTCCCAGTCCATTTCTGAAGCCAAATCGTGTTTCATCCTGGTCTTCTTCACATTTATCTCTGATTCTGGTACATTTACCTCTGATAAATGTTAATATTTATCGAGATCAAAACATAAGCAAATCGACAATTTATCGCACAATCAGAGAATGTGAAGAAGGGATATCATGTGTCAACTTGCGTAAAAGTGTCCGACCGCGGATTTTGAACCATATAAGAGAGGCAAGACTGATTGAAGCAGCTAAGAACAAAATTGGGGTCTCTCAGCGAAAAATCTTCCTATACTTATAGAAGATGAAGAACCAGCAATAGAACCATTAGTTGACATCAGAGGTGTGAGTTTTTATGACTTTGTTTAAGTTGATGGAAATGTTGCTCTCTCAGGTTCACTAACCGATGGCAAAATTTTATCTGGGACAGATGCGAATGAAAAAAGTAGAGGTATCTTTGGCAGAGGTATCAGTTAAAGAAGCAAGATCCTCATTCGATACCTTACAAACCTTCTGTCTGCAAAACTAAAGAGATGAAAAAGCATTTCAGGCACTTTTTCTCTTTAAAAAAATATTGAGCAGTCTGAGCAGCAGCAATGTGCTTTGAAGCAAACCAGTATAGTATAGTTCTTTCCCAACCTTTTCTTTGTTGGAGCTCCCCGGACTATAAATTAAATTTTCATGCCCCCTCTTTACTTTTTTAATAAATACAACAAAAAACGCACATTATATACTTAAAATTTTATTTTAATTCTAATAAACAAATTTTAAAAGTTTAATTAAACTAGTACATGTTTTTTATAAAAAAAAATTAAATTTAACAAAGTAAATATTAATGAGATACTTGAGATTGCATATTCTGTACTATTTGGTTGATTCTAGGATCTGTTTTTGCCAGAGCTATCATAAGGTCGCTATCGACATCAAGACGATTTTGCTGTTTAGTTTTAATTAAAACTAGAGCAGAAAAGCCTGTCTGACATAAGTAAGTTGAAGAAAAAGGAACTAGTATTCGTAAAGCAAGAGAGGCAACCTTCGAATTAACAGGCAATCTTTTAATCCAAAATTTCTCCAATTTCAAGAGATGGAAGTCATCTTTCATGGACGAGTCAGCCATCGTATCTAGAAATTCTTCTTGGTAATTGGAACACATCAACAACAAATGGATTTCTTGTCATACGCCATATTAGTGACTTTGAATTCATGTCTCGATAGTATCGTCGAAATTCGTCTTTCAGCGCTTGCAAATGAGTTTTTATGTCAGCTTTCAAATTTGCGTCAAGTATATTATTTTTAATTGCTTCGAACAGCCGAGAAAAAGACATAACATTTTCAGAAGAGATTTTTTGATTCCAAAGTTGAAGCTTTGATATGAACCCCTGAATATAATCATAATTGCTTATTATAGTGCCGTTACTGCCCTGAAGTTTTAAGTTTAGTTCATTCAAGGCATCGAATATGTCAGCCAAATAAGCCAACCTCCATTGAA